AAAAAAAAAAAAAAAAAAAAAAAAAAAGGAGAGAAGAATCTGATAAAAATACAGAATAGGTTATGAACACAAGCATGAGAAAGGTCAAGTAATGGAAAAGGGAATCAAAATATAGGAACCCCTATTACACCTACAAGAACGCAGGACGGGAAAAGAGAAAGATCACTAACTGGATAACAGTGAAGAGAACATTTCAAACTTGCAGTTCTTAAGTGTGTGTTTCTCTGTGGCTTTGGGCTACTTATTCTCCTACCTGTCTTTATATTCTTCATTGAAAAATGGGARTAATGAGAGCTCCACAAATTTGTTATTACCTAGCCTGTGTTTACACTTTCACTAGAACAGAGTTGGAGAKTTGTTAAGTATAACAGTTGGCAAATACTCTGTGTACTGTGTGTATAAAAGTGTATCTAGTTGTTAAGTGCACAAGGGGATAATATAGTACATTTGCAAAGATCTAAATGAGACTGCAGAGGAAGACAAAAGCAGAAATGAAAATTATTACATTCCATATTAAACCTAGTTTATAGAGAAAGGAAAAAAAAAAGTAAAAAATCTAGCTAGGCTCCTTAGGCTTAAAGAAGTTTGAAAAACTTTTTATCTCCTCAAATAAATATATCCTTTTTTTTTCCTCTAAGACACRTGGACTATAAATTGCTCAGAGATTAAAAAAACAAAACCAATAACATCAACAAAAAAATCCCTAAGCTTGGCCTTGTAACTCCCACTTTGCTATTTTTCATCTCACTAACGAGAGTTTGCCCTTATGACCTAGTTTAAGTGTCGGAGTCCTCCTTCAAGAGAAAAATAGGAAAAAATAAAGAAAAATATTCCATTGTTGCTGAGATGCCACAACACACCACCCTATACAAGGTATGCTGCTCAAGATTATATAAAGACAAGTAAGATATTGAATGGTTAAGAATCATCTCTGTTTTGCAAAAAAGAGAAGATATGAAGCATGATATGGTACCTACAGTCTCCAACATCCTATGCTAGACAGAACTCTAATCTAAGAATATTTTTTTCCATTTTCTAGAGTAGAAATTACAACCACAGAATAATGAAATTGCTCAAGTTTTTATAAAAGATTGCATTCTGTTGGCACTTTGTATAGAAAAGAGTTTCTAGTTGTTTATTAAGAAAAGACTGACACAAAACACTTACTTAGCAGCCTTYTAATTTAGACTTGGAAGCAAATGTGTCTGAAGGTGTTCAGAGCAGAAAAAAAGAAGTGACAGTGTGATGAAAACTGTAATATAATCATTTTTTTTCATTACTTTTTCACTCTTCCAAGAAAAAAAGAGACAGACTTGAAGTCTAATGGTGGGATTAAATGAAATATGAAAATCTCAAAATAGACAATCTTTGTACRAGCGATAAGCTTTTTTTCCTTCTCTATCCACCCAACACACACACACACACATGCGCACACACACAYACACTCACRAGCAAAAGCAAAAGAGAACCAGAATTCTTCAGCTGGTTGCACTAAGGCAATCTATAAACACAATTTACTGCATATGATAAATATTTCCTTCTCATACCAAACATATGCCTAGAAGATGCAAAATAAACACTATTATCATATTCAGTACCTTTTTTCAACCCTTCTTAAAATCTGGGAATATCTTTGCATGTGGTTGTTCATATGCTTTATTAAAATGRTAACTGCCAGACTAGATCATACAAAATCTTCTCCATTCTTCCAAAATCTGTAACTGTTTGGAAATGCATCCATCTGGCTTAAAACAGCTCAGCATAACTTACTTTATAGGCAGAGTATGTAAAAGCTGAACTTGAATGTTCTGTTATTGCAAAACATAGAAAACCATACTCATCTTTTCTCTTAAGGCTTTCAGGCTTATAATATAACTTGGTATATTATTATTGGTATATTATAATATAACTTGGTATATTATTAACTTCAAAGGCTGAGAGAGCTGGGTCTGTTCAGCCTGGAGAAGAGGAGGCTGAGGGGGGACCTGATCAGCGTGTATAAATACCTCARGGGAGGCAGTGAGGAGGAGGTGGCGGCCTCTTTTCAGTGGTGGGCAGGGATAGGACTAGAGGAAATGGCTTCAAACTGAAGCATCGGAAGTTCCACAGGAACTTAAGGAAGCATTTCTTCACTGTGAGGGTGACAAAGCACTGRAACAGGCTGCCCAGAGAGGTTGTGGAGTCTCCTTCTTTGGAGATCTTTAAAACCCGCTTGGATGCAGCCCTGTGCCACGTGCTCTAGGTGACCCTGCGTGAGCAGGGGGGTTGGACTCGATGACCTCTGAGGTCCCTTCCAACCTTCGGCATTCTATGATTCTATGATTCTATGTATGATATGCTAGGTAGTGATTACAACCATTTAAGAAGCAATGCATAAAACTTCAGTAGTTTTTTTTTTTTTTTTACAACACTTTTCTTGATTTTAAGAGAAGTATTAGAAGTGAGTTTCTCAGGGTAAAGGAGTAGTGGCAACAATTTGCAATAGCCCAGATTTGGATGTAATTCTCCACCATTCCGAAGTGCGGAGAGTGAAAGAGATAAAAGCTTGAGCTCTGATTTAGCTTCTTTGTTCTTTTTTGTAGCCAAAGCTGGAAAGTTTTATCACTATATTCTGAAAAGAGAAAGTAAAAGAATCCAAAAGAATATATGTTGGCAAAGAACATGGAAATTGCATACCATGATCTACCTTGTTTAACTTTATGGGAGTCAGGTATAACAAGTTTCAAGAGTGTTTGAAAGCATCACATCTAACTTCAGTGTCAGCTCAAGATATATTTGTTTAAAMTATCTTAAATCACCATGTTTTGCAGCTTAAAAAGTTGCAGTTAGGCAATACAGTAATGCTTAAAAAAAGTAATATTGGCCTGGAACCGACATTGCCTCACTTAATGGCAGCAAAGCAAAATATCTAACTCCGATGAGGTAAATCCTTTATTATCTGTTTTAATATGAGGACTTGGCTCTGTTCTTCATCATTTTGAATATTGCATATTAATTCATCTCCGTATAAAGTCAATATTTCTCCACTTTTTTAGAGAAGCATTTACTTATTTCACATTTACATTAGCACATGAGAACTACCATCATTAATAAAGCATCAGGCTGTTGCTTGATTTCATCTTGCACTCATATCTATTGGAATTTCCATCAAATTCCAAGCAATTAACAAAATATTAGTACAATAATAGTAAATTAGCAATTAGTAATTAGTAATTACTACTACTGTAATTAGTACAGTAAGATTAGTAAAATTAGTACAGTAAGATTAGTAAAACCATAGTACTTTGATTCCAACATAAAACAAAACTCATAAATTACAACGTGCAACTATATTCCTTGAAAAAAAATCCAGTTCTCAACAGAACTAAGTTTTTGAACAAATGTCCTTACCAGACATGTTTGGTGGCATTTCTAGGATGCTAGAGGTTTTGGACTTCAGAGAGACAGGCTGCATTTCATTTTAGTATTTGGAGATATCTCACATGGACCACGCACACAAAATACAAAGGAACTTCAGCCACAACTTTACATTCAACTCACAGCATCTTTGTTCGCCAAGTTCAGGAAAGGACAAAGGCAAGAAAGCTTTTGCTTGATTTAGCTTGAAAATCAGCAGTGAAATGACTGAAATAAGCTACGAGTCAAGTGTACCATTCAGCAACTTAAACTTTCAAATTCTGACAAAATTCATATCAATTTATGCTGGTAACAATATTTCTGKGGGGGAAGAACTGCAGCTACATAAAAGTGCATATAGAAAGTCTTACAGCAAATGATGATGATGAAAGACTCAAAAACATCTTCTTGAGATCTTGAGTGTACATAAATATTGAACAAACATCCAAGTACACTAATCCTTTCAGATAAAATAAACTTTCAGCAAGGAAAACCTGTTGAGCTCAACCTCAGTAGTAAAACGCAGCCTAGAAAAGGATTCCTAAAAAGAACATTTAGTGCAGCAGAGAACTGTCACACATCTTGCTTTACTGCAGGCTTGAGTTTTAAGAAAATCCCCAACCTGTAKAAGGATGAAATTCAAGGTCTTGTAGTAATGTGTCATCAATAAAATATATAATAAAACCCATGAAAAATGTAGCCTAACCAAACTAATTCAGCTATCTCCTGACTTTCCTGTGTGATTAGTACCACAACTATAAGTAATTTAGCAATGCCCATCAAGTTTCCTGAAATAACCTTATGCAGGTCTGAACTCAAAAAATATCAGATTAGTTCAGTGGATTAGAGAAGGAAACGTGCCATAAATAAAAGTCAATGTAGCACTGAAACAAGCAGAAACTATCAACATGGAAGCTATGATAACTCCTATAATAGAAAAAAAAAACAACATAGGAATATAATTAGTATGATTATAATTTATAGTACAATTATGATAGTATGTTTATAATTTATCAGCTTTCATTGTTGRTATTTCTAGAGGCTGAGCTGGTTGGAGAATTCAAGTAACATGAAGAAAATCATGCAWAGCTGAAAAATGAACAAAGAAAAACCCTCAATCTTTGTTATTTGTAAACTCTGGAAAAATAAACCAGAGTTTTTTTCTTATAGAGCAGCAGTATCATCATTCACTGGACAGAGTTTACATCTTATATTAAATCCCATGGCTCTGAATTCAGAAAGTATCTTCAGTTTAAATTTCTAGGTATGTGTATAGGTATGTTTCTAGGTATAAAAGAGATGTATATATTGTCTGGGATATGCAGGAACACACATGTGCCTACTAGTAGTAAATACTAAAAAGTTCCTAACAAAATTMCTGTGAAGCATGTAAAATACGACTATAAAAAGCTAGGGAGGTAAGAAGTGAAGAGTGAGTGAAAGACTTGGATACGAACTTTGATATCAGCCAAAGAAAAGGCTGATTGCAAATATTGCACATTCTAACATTTTCAACTACTGTCTTTGGAAGGCCTCCCTGAAAAAAAAGTGTTTTATGAGGATCAGAACTAATTCAGACCAGTTTGCTTCACGATGACTGGGTCACTAGTTATTGTCCAAGAAAAGCACAGAATTACTAAGTTCTTCCTCCTTCTTTTCTTAAGACTTCAAAACTGAAATGCTTGTAAAAATTCTCAGGTGAAAAGAAACTCTTTAAATTGTCTGAAATSTTTAAATTGTCTTAGCGAATTCCTCTGCAATTGACAGACTTTGTTAAAGTTAACAGAGGGGAAAGCGCTAGACACAAATAGGCACACAGAGCAAGTGCATAGTCACCATTTCCCTGGGAAATCAAGGTAAGGATAGGCCAGGAAACATTTTATTCAGGCAAAGTACAGGGCAGAGGGAAGAACTACTATAGAAAAAAGAAATGACCTTTCTAATAGATTACTGCCTCGCTAAAGTTCATCARTATTCACAGGTAAGTTTGTGCTATACTTACAGAACTGATGTACTCTTAGGCACAGTCTAGCCATAGCTGAAAAGTTCATTGGCTATTCTGGTTAATTTTGTTAAAAAAAATGGGCACCTTACATTACTTTAGTCAACAACCAAGGATGAGGCAGAAGTGACCATAATCACCATGAGCTCACTATTGATCCTGTTATTTCTGTAGGACTTCAGTTTCAACAATCAACAACTAGGGGGTTTAAGTGTAGCTTAACTTTTCCTTGAACTACTTTTTTCCTTGTAAAAAGTACTATAATATCTTATAAGGAAGGCGAAAGTCTGTAATGATAAAGGACAACTACATAAACTCGTAAACATAGTAGGAATGTAGATCAAAACCCAAAAATTTTGGAGTATCATATAAAAATTCCTAAATTAGCCTGGTATTCAATAGAAWAAATAAATTATAATGGTTCTGTAACTAGTCTGATTCACGTTAAATACCAAAAACATATCGAAACCTCTGTGAGAATTCCTAATTAAAATTCTAATTACAATCACAGCTGCAAGTATTACCAGGTATCGCTGATGGCATTTTTTGGATGCCAGATGTTTCAGATCTTGAAGAAACGGGCTGTTTTTCATCAAAAGCTGAAAGAAAATCTGGAGTTAATTTTAACAGGGACCTTAGAGCCACCAAGCCAGCACAATATTTGGACAGCAGCARTGGATATTTTAAGGCAACGTCAATATGAGATCAAGCAAGACATCAGCAGCCTTGAAGATCAGCTGTGAAATGAGGTGTTATATAAATACTGAAGCTAATGTCAGGTGAAGCAGGGTGATAGAAAAAGTCTTTTTTTCTCATGTGAGGCAGATTTCTTCTCAATGGACTAATTATTTTTAATTTTTTATTTTTAAATACTTGAAGAAAGAAAAGAAGTCAGACTGGACTTTTATGTTATTTTGTATGTTTGAATGAATCTTTGTGTTATCCAGCATAGCAAAGAGAAGTGATGGAATGGCATGAAAAGCTAATGGAATTATATGCTATTTACCCTTTACTGTCCCTCTGGTTTTCATGGAGGGAAGAGATGTGGATTTCAGGACAGGTTCCTGGGTAGCTAAAAATGAAATATGAAAACAGTCTTGAAACAGTAAGAGAGGCCAGGCTTTATACAAAGTGATCTTTGTTGGCAAACTGGAACACCTATATTTATTTTATATTTAATGTAGATTCATTTTTAAGTGATAGTTGTGATACCATAGTCTGTTCAGTGTGCCTTCTTTGGGAAGGTGGGACAYATATAGCACCTAATGTTGAAGCATTAGTGACAAGGCTAGCTATCTACAACTGATTTTTAAATTCTATTCAACAGCAACAAGGGAAAGTCACCATCTTCTCTCATACACATTGGTTTGGACAAATCTTTTAAATAAGTTAAATAATGTTTAATTTTATTTTCATACTGCATACCTTCAATAGTAAAATTAAGCATAAAGAGATGAATTAGTCCATAAATACCTCCCTTATGYAAGTAACCTAAAGCAGTATCACAGAATCAAAGTAGTAGAGCATAATTTAGGTTGGAAGGGAAATCCAATACAAGATGTTGGAGAAAATCCTAACAAATGAAGGTTCACAGAGCAGCTTAAAAAGATGAATTTGAAGTAGCATGAAATAGCACCTTTTCAACTTTAGAAAGAAAAAAAAAAACAATCAATTCACACAAAGATCATTAACATTAGCCCAGCCACACTATATATGTATGTATATATGAGTTCTGAAAAAGATGAAGTGTTGAGAAATGTCCAAATGCAGAAGATGAAGGAGATCTGTTTCAGGAGCAAGTGGGAAAAAAAAAAAAAAAAAGCCATACAGTCCTTATTATTGCGTGAAACATTGAGGAAACATCGTTATCATTTATCCAGTTCCACTTTGAGACAGATATAACAGGTTGCAAAAGCATTTGAATATTTATAGTAAGAAAAAAAATGCACCTTAAACCTGTCAAAGCAYAATTATAATTTTGAGGCAAAATAATTTAGTGAAATCACACTCCAGAAAGAGAGTAGTAAGTGTGGCAGAAGTGCTGTTCTATGTTTAGAATAACTGTTTACTGCTAACTGCTGGTAGTTGCACTGATTTCAGGRGATGGCTGATACAGCCTTTATGCATTTTGGCTAGTGCTTTTGGCGCAGAGGTAGTTACAGATGTAAATCAGTAAGGATAGAAGGAGAAACTTCATGTTCAGTCAAAAGTATAAATATACAGCGATAATTTAGACCATCTCTAGCCTCCATTTTTTTTTCAGATAATTTTATATGTAATTTGAAATGTCAAAAATGTAAGAAAAAATAATGTTAATATTCCATTATACTCAGTGTGTCATAATTGCAGAAGACTACCAGTTTCCACATTACCCCAGATGCAAAGTGAATACATCACTTCTTCCTTTAATTATGTTAACTCCATGATAAAAATAAATAACAAGTAACAACAAAATTCATACTGACATTTCTTGTTAGAATTCCTAGTAGTAATAAAATTACTTTTCCAAGAAATGTCATTACCAGATTTTGTTGTTGCCATTTCTAGAATACCAAGTATTGTGGATCTCGAAGAAACTGGCTGTATTTTATCAACAGCTAAAAAGCAAATCTGAGTTTAAGAATTTGCCGCAACACCAGAGCCATTGAAAAAAACCATACTACTCAGCCAACAGAAGCTTTTCCGCAAAAYGAAACACTGATGCAAATAAAATCAAAATAGTATATTGCCTGAAATTCAAGTATAGGTTAACAGACATAAAGCTGATGATTCCTAAGGTATGGATACAGCACAAGTTAAATTAGATCTGGCATTTTTATATCTCCTAAATACCCAGGACACAGAATTCTCCTCCATATTCAAGCATATGGACACCTTTATGTGCATCTACACATGCAAGTGTCCTGACCAACATTCACCTTTCAGTATTTACACCTATTTTACATTCCTGTAGCTTCACAAGAGATGTAAGAATAACAACAATGTAAGAAGTGAGATACGCACCATGAAAAAGCTCAGAAAAGGTTTGAGAAACTTAAAAAATAGATATTTGCTAGCAATATTACAAGAAATTGCTCAGTTTAGAGATGATTTTCTAATCATTGTCTTTATGTTGAATGAGATGGTCAGAGTTTCAGCTACATGTTCTTACCATGAAAGAAAAAGCAACTAGGGAAGTGTTTTATGAAACACTTCTTAAGTGGGCAGCTTTTTGAAGATATCCAAACATCACTTCCACAGATAACATCCTTTAACAACAAAATATAGAGTGGATGCTGGCTCCTACAACAACTAGTTAGTGTAACTGTATTTGATGACAAAAAGCTTGATTAATTACAGATATAGCATAAGAATGAAGTAAGGAACAGGTCCAAAACTTATCTTTAAAAGAAGAAAAACAATCAAAGAGTATAATTAAAAAGTGAATATGTCATGATTGGTCATCCATTGTTTTTTGTAACAATTTTGGTATCTTTCAGCTTGGAGAAGCAAATAGTTCTAGCTCAGCACTATTAGCAGCTATAGAAAAATGTAAATAAATCAGATTGTGATACATCTGAGATGTATCTGAATACTGATGTGCTTCAGGATTTTTTTTATGAAGACTAAAGAACACAGTTCATTCAATATTCTCATAGGCTTCACTGTTAGTCTTCTAATCACTTTTGCTGGTACCTTCTGAACTGCTCTGAGTGTGCGTTTTTTTGGAGCACAGTAATCTGAAGCTTTCTAAAAGTTCAGTAGAGCTGAAGGATTTCTTCATGTATCTGTTCTACTGTTACATTTTGATATGGTACTTTACATGTTGGCAACAACACGATGATACTGGCTCATGGTCAAGCTTCTGATTCACTGTAACAAAAAGTTCCTTTCCTGAGAGATAATGGTTCTCCATCGTGCACTCATACAATTGATTACTCTTGCATAAGCAAAATCATTGTTCTTCAGAAAGAACTTCCTATCCTCTGTGTAGTAGCACATCTTCCAGCTTGGAGCCATTTATCAATTTAACAAGCATCAATTCCTTTCTATCATCTAGGTCATTAATAAAACTATTGCCTAATACTGACCCTATGACTATTCCCTACAAAATCCAGTTTAATATATCTTTCCATTTTTACAGTCAGCTTCCTTTTACAGCTACTATCACATCACATTCATCTTTCAGTGTTATCATGCTCCCTGGCTTGTGAAAATACCCTGTGAAACACAAGAATGTGTTGTAGTGTTACAACACTAGTAATGTCTAGTAATGTTATTCAAAATTAACTTCTGTAGTTTCTCCTCTATCCCATCAGTCCTGCTTTAACCTCCCCTAACCCAAATTCAATTGGTATGATTTTCTTTATGAATTCTTTATGAAGTAATGATGTGATAACAATAATCATTTTTATCAGAATGTCTAAGGGTAATAATGATAATTAAATTTTCAAGCAACATCACAAAGATTAGAATATTTAACAATATAGCTCTTACAGGACTGAAAAATTTCATTCTACTTTTTTACCTTAAAATTTTTTATGCCTAAAATCTTTCTAATTTAACAAAACTAATGAGTTACTGACATTATATGGCTACGTATATTTGTAGGAACTATCTGACAAGTTATTCGGAAGTGGCTGATATAAAAGGTTTAACAAAAAGCCTGCTGCATGCACTTGGCAGTCAATATAATTAAGTCTCCTTCAGACGAAAAGCAATGGAAAAATGGTGGAAATATTTATGGAATCTATTCTACTTTTCCAGCACTGTGCTTGCTGTTACCATAAAGGGCAAAGACATGAATTTTGGAGTTGGTTTCTGGATAGCAAATACAGAACAAGAAAAGTTTAAGACATTAAGGAAGGCTAATTCCAGAAGATGAGATTTCAGAAATATAGAGTCATCTTTCCTGATGATACTTAATAAATTCGTGTCATACCTAGAGATCTTATTTTCCCTCCACTGCCACAAAATCAATTTCATATAAGTAATATTATTATGAAAGGCCATATTTTTGGGAGGAAAATTACTTTAAAAAAATTAAGCTTTTGTAATAGTATTCTAATGAAAAAACAAATGTTGAAAAATCAGATTAAATCAGATTACTAAAACTGTCACTTCCTTTAAAAAAAAATTATGGAGACAGTACAGGAGAACAACTTCTATGGATAATGGCATACAGACCATTGAAGAGCAGGAATTTACAATATGGTTTTGGCATGCAAGTGTTATACCACATTTAATATTTTTTTTTTCAAGTAAGATAATGGTCATTTTGTAATATGGGAAAATGCTCTTGTAAACATACTAAGACATGAAAAACTAATCATAGTAATTATAATCACAGTAATTATAATACAGAACTAAATGCAGTACTGAAACCTTAATATGTGATGTACTTATTGAGTTAAAATTTTACTCTCTACAGTTCAATTATTCCACAATGAGTCCCTGTAAACTACCTGAACAATTAAAATAGGTACAGTAAATCTCAAAATGGACAATGACTAGGTTTGCTTTGTGTCATTTAAGGAATGGTAGACATTTTATGCGCTTTGAAATCTTGCAGAAGCAGGCCATGCTTCACCAAAAGCAGAAAGGAAAACAATTCCAAAGTGGAATATCACAAAAATCTACTAATGGAAATGAGGCTATAAAGACAGTATCAGGGTAAATGTAAGCAAAATGACAGATAGCCTGAAAGTCAGCTGTGAAATGAGTTTCATGAATACTGTGATGTTGGTTCAGTTGTTCTCTACTACACAGAATTTTTATCATCTGAGAGTTTTACATTATTTCTCCATTTTGGAATATGAATAGCAGCTCCAAGAAAGCAAAACAAAATAAAATGAACAGCAAGATATATGTATATGTTCTTCTAGACATCAATTAATAAGTCAGTACCAGAAAGACTTTCTATGGTCGACAGAAAGAAAGTGTCCTGGAGGCATTAAGAAACAAAACACAACAAAGAAAAGTAAAGCTCAAAACACAGATAAAATAGAATATCAATATGGGATAACTGCAGTGATAAAAAAAAATCCTATAAGTTGTATTCTGCAAAAGAAAATATAGATGTGATAAAGAAGGATGATGAAAAACAGAATTAAATACTGTATTTATGGAACAAACACTAAGACAAGCTTCCCAGAGACTGCAGTGATCACAGATGAAAAGAAACCCAGATTCTCCATTATTCTATTTCTTCCAAAATGTAGCAATACCAAGACCACAGTTTAAAATAACAAAGAATAAAGAATGTGAGCTACTGATTACTACCCATTCTAGTTTCTGGTAACTTGACTTCTTTGGAAACCAGAAATAAAGATGTTTTCCACTCAGTAGTATTTGCAGCTGTGGGAGAAACATGTAAATAAACCCAAGAATTAGCTGCCACCTCCTATGTATTTAGGAACGTGATTGGAAAAAGGTGATGGAGAGAATGAATTTTCACAGTAGCTCCACAGTAGCTTTTTACTCAGAAACTGCGGGAGCTTTATGCTTTGTTGTCTCAGCGCACTATGCTAAATAATCAAAACATCATATTTCAAATCTGGTMACCAGAAAGGGGAAGACTGATATAATGAAAAAATATATCACATGCTTACACTATCATGCATAGAAAAACAGCCAAAACCTCACAACTGTCTTCTATCTGACTAGTCATAACTAGATATTTATACACTAAAGCACATTTCTGCTTTAAGACAAAACATGAACAAACAAATAAACCAAAAATACCATGTGGACAAGGAGAAAAATCYTAGATGAATAAAAGAAAAATGTAAAAATTATTTATTAATACCGAAATAGAATATAGAGCAGTCTTTTGCAATGTTCCTTTCTCTAGAAACTACTTTAAGAGGTTACAACAGAAAGCAAATCATCARCGAACAAATCTCTTTAAAAACTGCCTCCTCTATGGAGACTAAACCCTTTCCCCTGAACAACTACCATTATTCTGAAAAATCTAAATTTATCAAGCCATAGAATTTCCTCTCAACTACTAAATTCTGCCTTATTCACCAATAAGACACTACTCTGGCACATCATATCAGGATCACCTACTTGAGACTAGATCAGCAGAACACTCGAAAATATTACAATTAATTTAAAGCATTAAAAACAAATGAAATACTGACATTGCATTGAGATCATTAAGAAGCCATAAGAAAAATGAACACCGAAATACTGCTATTTATATAGCAAGAAATATCATAGATAGGAAATAAATATAATTTACCATTCTCTGTTTCTAACATTTCTGCAGATGCAGAGGTTTGGAAAGTGGAAGTAACATGAAGAAAGTCAGGTGAAGCTGAAAAAAAAAATGTACTGTATTATTTAAAAGCCATATGGACTATCACAACATGGCATTATGTGCAGCCACAGATTGAATGGTTTCCTGCCCCAGTAACAATGTAATGTAGGAACGCAAAAACACATCTGCTAAATAAGCAGAGTCTAAAACAGCAAAGAGGCTTTTGTGCTAATATATATCAAAATACATACAAGTGATGCCAAATGGAAATACCTCAAGTATGATGGAAAAAAATCCTGTTAGGATAGTAAAAATGTAAGATTGCAAAAGCCAAAAAATATCTAGCAAAGAGAATTAAATAGAAAGCAGCTTAGAAGATGATCATTCTCAATATCGTTTGAAAGGTTAGAGAAAACATAAGAATGAAAAATGAGTGAAAAAAGCACAGAAGAGTGAAAAGCCAGAAAAGTGAAAAATCCTAGACAGTAACTATCACCAGGCAGGAGAAGAGAAAGAAATATTGCTCAGCTTCAGCAACTCTGCCAAAATTTACAGAATTTGTTATGATTATGAGCCTCTCTGGTTTCCCCACTGAAAAAGACAACAGTTGAGGAAAGTCTTCTAAGAGTAAAGGCTCTTGTAAAGATGTATATGCACTGCTGAGCTGATGCAAAAGCAAGACAGCTCCTGACAAAAGCACCAAAACAGCATCTTGTAGATGTCTACATGGGGTTCATTACACTTTCAACTTGCACCAGCTTCAGTTCTCCAGACCTAATAATCTGCTCTTGTCAACACTTCTACCTTGTGAGCTGGCCAACTGACCAACTGCTTTGTAGCATGAACAGTTACTCATTTTGTCCTACAATGGGTAACTGAGCAGATTTCAAAGTCTTGCATGCCTGCAAACATCAAAACAGCCACTGCCACAAGTATCTCCAGCCACTTCCATCAGTTGCAGGTGAATATAGCTTTTCATTCACAGCACTTCCATATCTGCACATGTTCTTTACTCCAACGCTGGCGCAAGTGAAATSACAGATTGATAATAAACACTGCAACACCTCTTGCATGTTCCTGACAGGCATCAACCAAGATACACCTGAAATGATCTGACTGACAGCAGAGTTAGGTGCCAAAGTTGAAAGGAGGCTGTAYGCTTACAATCCTAGTGCAACCTCAGAGGCTTAGGACAGCTGTGTGGTCCTTCCCCAAAGTGGATGAGGTAAAGATAAGAGGAGATGAGAGCTGGATGGGCCAAAAAAGGTCGATATCTCATAGCTGCACCCCTCAAATTAAAGCTGCAAGGTCACCAGCTTGGGCCAACACAGCAGGAGTTTGCATCCAAGAGAACTGTCTTCTTTGAATGGGCAACAGGTAGCAAGGTAGCTAGCAAAGACCAAGATGTGGGGAACGGCAGCCAAGGCAAGGTGGAGCACCACACTCTTTGTGTAAGCTGACCTTCCATCCCTGCAGAAAATGCCTGTCAAGCTGTGGAAAAAGTTTGGGCTCAAACAGCAGAATTGCATAGCAAGTGTGGCACKTGTTGCTACAGGCCAAGGTGCACCAACAGGTCTTGATACTCTCCTCAGCAAATGACAATGATGCCAAGTGACTGGGGGGCAGCGAGGAGAGGAGGAGTGGGAGAGAAAGGAGAAAAGCCAAAACAAGGTTGGATGCTGCAGAGGTCTCGCAGCCTTGGCATGACTCAATGCTATTTTTCAATGGGCAAAGGTAGCCCCACAACAGAGATGGTTGGAAATGGATGAGATTGGTAGCATGGATCTGCCCCAAAAGTGAATCTCAAAGCTTGCAAATGGATCAACTTGTAATATCAAGGCAGAAGGGACCAAACACTTTYTGTGTTGCCGCATGAGAGATTCAAAACATGTGAAACATGCTCAACTCTGCACAGAAAAGTGCTGCCCAAGTGACCAAAAACAGGAAGGGAATCACGGACTACAAACCCATCGCAGCTCTGGCCATCTCCAGTGAAGCAGTGGAGGGCGACTCCAGGTCTGGTCTCAGTGTTGCTATGGTCAGACATGGAAAACGTCTTGAGAAACTATCTTACAACACCCTGAAGTACAGAGTTCATGCAAGATGTTGTTCTCTCACAGTGTTTCACAAGTCACTGACCAACACATCTATCAGCTACTTTAACCCTTTTATTCTAGTTTTGCTTAGGAATATGCACAACCCAAGACCTAAAGCAGCAGGAAAGTCTACTTTTTGAGTACTCATTCTCACTACACCTCTTGGCTAACAGAGTGGGGCTCTAGTTCCAAGAAAGGTGACGACGTTGATGGTGGAATTTTTCAAACCTGCACAAAGAAGAAGTTGTTGGTAATAATAAAGAGTGCCTAGTAATTTCTTTGGTATATCTCCATATTCCTGGCTTTTGTAAACAGAAAACACYGAGTTCAAGCCACTGACAAGCCAGTGACTGTTTTTTTCCCGTGGTTAAAACTTAGCAAAATACTCTTAAAAACAACAAGAAAAACTCTTCTCAACTCATGACAGGTTTTTGCATCCAATGTACAAAAGAAGCAGACRTGACACTTGGGCAATTTGTCCAAATGTATCAAACAGTAAAACAGACCTCAGTATATTATTCTGGCTATAGCAAAAATGAAGGATATAACCTCACACGACAATCTACGAAACTGCTTACGAGCATAAGAAAAACTGCTCACATTGTATCATTCCAATATTTAATTACCAATTTCTCAAATGTTGGAGTGGCTAGCACCAGTCCCTTGCTATGAGGGAGAGAACTACAGTGAGGAGAGATATCATTACCAGCTGAGGTGGGTAATATTTCTGGCAAGCCAGATATTTTGGATCTTGAAGAAAGAGGTTTCATTTCATCTAAATGTGAAATTAAAAAATTGTGCTAAAATGCTTATTTACCTCAGTGCTATCGTGGATAGCACAGGACTCCCTAGACAAAAGTTGCATTTCTAAAATGAAATTTAAAATGGAAAACTGCTTGCAAGACAGTATGATGCCTTGCAGATGATCATACTTCTTGCTGCGTGCAAGAAGTATGATGTCCCATGTATTGTTAGGCTACTATGAACTTCAGTGTAGAAACCAAAGGATCTAATTATTCATATTAAAGAGAATACTCAAAAATTTAAGTGCATGTATTAATAATTGCATAGAGCAAGTAAACAACTTCTTGATCTAGGAGATAATCAATGAGCCAGCCAATACAAGCCCAAGCAAAACTACCTCTTCAGCTGATTATTACATGATAATAATATATGTTAAGCCCTTCATTTCCTCCACTGTTAACTTCTCTTACTACGTGGAAAAATCTGAGGCAGGTCCATAGTTGGGAACTTCAGCAGCATAAACAACAAACATACAAACCAAAAGCAAACAAAAAAAACAGATCTCATAGCCAACTAACAGATACCCCCACCCCCAGAACCCTATAAAGATGAGCAAAAAATACAGCTAATAAACTAGTCAATGATGACAACAAGTGGTATGAATTGCGAGTATGGTAACAATTAAGGCAAGAGAAAATGTTCCAAAAATAGCAGTGGAGACAAGATAAACAAAGAAAACTTCAACTAATCAGTGTTACCCATTGCTGTTCCTAAGAAATGAGGTTCTGTGGTAATTACAGGCCCGGATATTTCCAATTCAGCAGTACCTCTGGCTGTAGGGAAAAAAGTATACAGACTTGATAAGCAACTTTAATGTAAAGAACTGAATGAAGAAGATTTGGAAAAGAAGTCACCTGGCACTGTTTGTTGATGTCCTTAGGATGGAAAATGATTTTACACATTGTACATCATTTTTTTTCTGAATATTTTCAATATTCTTACCAACTACTTGTCTGAAGATGTTACCTTCCTTTCCCAAATGTAGAAATGTTTATAAAGGAATTAAAAAGTGATTTATAAAATTGTAAATYCATTTGCTTTATGCTACCTGAAAAAAGAGGTACAACTTGCACTTCGTATTTTCATGAGGATAACAATTCTAACAAGTGTAGAAGAATGATACAAGTTGAGGAGATGAATGCTTCTCTTCATCACTTCACTRAGTCACTTTGTGAAGTTCCTAAGTTTCAGTTAATTTTTATTCACACATTTATTCACACATACCCATATTTCCAGCATAATAAAATTGCTCATTTAATTTTGCATAGGAGTATTATTATTTATATTTTGGCTTAACAGTGCTGAATTTTGAAAATTTCTTTGGATTGGAAAGAACCAATAGGTTCTACAGCAGAGACCTTAAACTGCAGTCACTATAAACATTTAGACAATTGATTGCTTCATTTCTTCACTGTCTCCTCCTTCCTTTTCCTGATTTCCCTAACCTCTCATGCACATACTTCTTTGTGTTCAAGTAATGCCTAAGAAAACTAAGTATCCTCACATATCAAAAGTCTCAGAAGATATGTAGGAAGCCACAGCAACATCTATAGCCCATAGCAAAGCTTTGCTAGAAAGATCTGGAATGATGTTTTGCTTCYGGGTCTAAGCCAGTATTTGGAGAAAAAACATACAGGAAGGTATGTAGGCTCACTGAACACTTCCTTTCAGCAAGGATAGGAAGGGAGGCAGGGGAGAGAAAAAGGGAAGCAGAAAAGGAAGGAGAAAAAGAGAAGAGAAGAGGGTAAAACTGCACTGCCAAAAAAGAACATATCCTTCTTGATGGTATTCCATAAGTTTTTATCTCACAAAATTTAAATCCTTTTTGACAGCTCAATACTAAATCATTATTATTAYGTATGCTAGTTAAAACTTTTCATTGAACCAGTATTAAGCCTGATCTCAGGAGTTAAGAGGATATTATTATAGAATTTGAAGAACTAATACAGGGTAACCCCGACACAGATAGTATGGAAAAATTAACTGAAGCCTTGAACAYGAAACAGCACAYACACACAAAAAAAMCAAACCAAACAAAAACAAAACAAAACAAAACAAAAAACCCCACGCTTCTGAAATAACTACTATAATTTACCAGTGTCTGATATTTCTGGAGTTGCAAAAGTTTGAGGAGTAGAAGTAACATGAAGAAAGTCATGTGAAGCTGGAAAATAAAAACAAAAATCATGCTATATTATTTTAAAATGAAATAACTATGATGCAACAGCATCACCTTCTTTTAATGAGCTGAAAAAAAAAAWTTAGCTAGTATTTAACATAATACATCCTGCAAAAAGTACACCAAAATGTGCAGTAACTGAGTAAATGTGAATTTATTTTTATTTTTGTCTAGAAATCAAGGTTCATGCAGTAGAATGGTGCTGAAACCAGAGAATAGCCTGGTGCTGAAACCAGAGAAAAAGAAAGAATGACAAAGCAGGAACTCTACTAAATGAAACACATAAACTGTTTTCAGTCAGATGTGTGAATAGCTGACATCTCTGATCAATCTTGCGCTTAATTATGGATTTCCTTCAGAAACRAATTTCTTTCAAAAAACACAATCTTCAAGCATTACGTTATTGGCATGCTATTGAAATGAAATATTTCCAACTGGCTCTCATCTTAGGTAACTATTTTTTTCTTCTGAATGATAGTCAGTGGCAGCATACTAAATATTCAACTTTCATGGGAAAGTTTTCTGATCTATAAATACAGAGACATTTTCTACGAACAAGTAAGTCCATGCCTGAATCTTCAATGAGATATTTTTACAGCACCAGTTGCCAAAWCTGCCTTTTTAGAAGTAAGTATGCCTATATAGAAAGACAAAAGGAAAGCTATTTTTAAAGGGTGTTGGAATATCAGAAGTTTCCATTTATCTCTTGAATATCTGAGCACTTCAGTTGATCAAGATGTTCCATTTACAAAACTTTGGTGTTGACAGTGATATTTAGACTCAGCGTTTACTATATGTTAGGCACATTTCTAAGCTAAGATTTGCATGCTGGAGTCAAATCTATTAAGTAAGAAATCCCCCAGTAGTGCAATATTTCATACAAAAAGTCGTACAGAAACATCTTATTTGATATAGTACTTCCAAATCTGCAGTTACTCTTCATTTATGTCAAACTGAGCAAACTATTTATTGAAAGGTACTCTGTCTCTTTGGAAAATTCCTGACTGTCAAGAGAGTTAATCTCGTGAGAAATCATTACCAGATTTGGTTGGTTGCACTCCTGTTGTGCCAGAYGCTTTGGATCTTGAAGAAATAGGCTGTGTTTCATCAAAAGCTGAAAAAAGAATCCGAGCTTAAAAGGCTGAGAAGGTTGAGACTGAATGGATAAGCACCAAACCGCTTAGTGAATGCTGTGCCACTCAATGTGATGCTCAAAGCAAAGCTAAGCAAGGAGGCCTGAAGATCAGCTTGGAGACAACTGCGTCATGACAACAGAGATGATGGCTTGTGATGCAGCCTGCTGGCCTTGAACCTGGCATCCACATGCCTGAAGAGTTCTTAACAGCAAGAAATTACACCTCACTGCATTTTCTAGGGTATGAAACACAGCTGTAGGAGAACAAATGATGATGAGATGTGACAGCACTCAGTTAAGCCAGTGATGAAAATATTTTTCAGATGATCACACAGACGCAAAATGGTTGAACAAGCAGCTTTGTGCAAGTGTGGGTAGCCAAGACTCTTATAAGCAGATCTTAAAATTATCTTTTGCCAATGTAAGTGATACTAAGATAATGAAAAAGAAATCACGTAAAAAATGTGCTGATTACCCATTTGCAAGTCTTTGGTTTCCACAGGAGGGAGAGATACATGTTTCAAGGCTGGACTCTGAGTAGCTAAGAGCAAACATGAAAAAAAACTTAAGGTATCAAGTGGTATGAAATATAGTTTTAGCTGAAATACCAGACTTTCTTGTGTTTTGAAACTTTCTTCTTTCAATCAAGTTTTTTTCTATTCAAACTACGGCCTACACTATCTAATCAGCTTTGATGGACACTACTTAAGCATCTTTTCTCTGCAAACCAGTACATTCAATCTTCATAGCACTCACAACCCTACATAAAATTATTACTACTATAGTATGTGCAACTATTTTAGACAAAGGTTTAATGAGGAAAGTTGAACAAGTGATGTCGTGAATTGAGGTGAATAAAAAGCCTGTTCTGTTTGTTATGGTGTAAGGAAGACCTTTGACTTCCAAGTACGCATAATCTGAAGTGTGCTTTAGTGAAAACAGGGACTCAAAAGGAAATGGGCATCATCACCTCAAGGCCAACAAAAACACATCTCCACCCASGGAAGATTTCACATTAATGTTCTACTTCTAGGTAAGGGATCCTTTTAAATTTCAACTGTGTATATAGTATGTACCATTCTTTCCAGGAAATGTACACACACTTAACCACTTATTCCTATTTAGGTTATAATAAATTTAAAGAGAAAATAACCTCTATGTTTCTAACTGCTTTTTGATAGGATATGATTTTTTTTGAAAACAGTAATATCAGAATTTTCAGACTGATTTTCTGTGAATGCTTAAAATCTAGAAAAAAATTCCCAGGCAGCTAGGTGCAAGGTTCATTTTTAATGTATACACTGTAAATACAAGCTGAGCAGACTTCTTTTTCTTATGTTGGCTCTGCTTTCACATCTAACTTCAATCACATTCACTGCATTAACATATATGACTGGGTTACTGTCCTGATTTCACAGAAGAAAATAATACAAGTAAAAGCCATATGAGTCACTATATTTCGCAATAAGAACTCTCATTAATTCCACTTAGATACAGTGAAAACTAYGGGAGATCTCCAAAAGACATCAGAACACTCTGTAGCCATCTTCACAAAGCTTTCTTTTTAAAAAGCATGTAAACAAAGTACACTGACCACCCAGAAGTTTATAAATTAAAGATATCTCCCTCTGGTATAATCTARATGCAAAAATAAATATGAAAAAAATCTGAGGTACTAGATCTGGGGTGCTTTCTCTATTTTAGGAACTAACACCTTYTTGTTATCATTAATCTAAAGATTCTTTATAGAGACAGTTTTTAAAAAGCTGTAACTAAATAGTCTAACAAGACTTTTGCCAGTAAGAATAATTCGGATACTATATTGAAGAGGAATGTTACATTATGATGACTGTTACAAGCATTGGTTATTTGAATTGTAATGGGAGTTTCCTCATGTCCTTCACAAGAAGAAAGGAGACATCAAAAATCAAGCACTTAAGAATCATGAGAATGATGCTCAGAAGTTGCRGTATTCTAAATTAACACTTCTGGTTTTTTAATTGCGTAAAAAGGAGGCAATCAAAGTATGCAGAGACAGTGCAGATAAATTATCTATGTATTGACCCCTTTCTCATGGATTGCCCCTGACTTCAACACTGCCTTCTGTGGGAGCCTAGCTGGTACGGTCAGCCTGACTGCAGGGCCCAGCTTCACACCGTCAAGTTCCACTTTTTGCTAAGTGAACTATTCAACAGGAACAGAAAACAAATCAGAACAAATCCATCATGAAACGCTCAAATGAAACGTGATTTTTACCATAATTATTGTAATATTTTTACTACCAAGACAAAGGCAGAACTTTTGTAATCCAGCAGAAAGCAAAGATATTTTCTATTACTAATGATAATAAGGTTTTCAGCTGCATTTCTATCAAATACGTTCTTAAATCACTAAATGCCTTTCTCTCTCCCGTATTGCATCCAGCTTTTTAACCAACCATCTTTTGTTAGAGTGGAAACAAAGAGATATCGCCATTCTCTCAAGAATAAGGAAGTGCTGTCAAAAATTAAAATAAATTATGAATAAATAATAAATGAAATATAAACCTATATTGACTCAAGGTCACCCATAAGTTAGCTATACCTGACACTAATTAAACAGTGAAAACAAAGTCATAATCCATAGCAGCACAAGTAGAAACTATTTTGGAAGGGGGAGCAGTATGATAATTTCTCAAATGTGAGGCATTTTTAAGGTGTTCCAAAGTTGATCATCAGACAAATGAAAACATGACTACAGATTTAAGCAAACATTGAATGTTTGCAATCTATATAAATTATGGCCCTATCTTATCCAAATGAATAAATATTTAGTGAATGGCATGAAAATCCGCTGAATTAATGAAGAAATATTCTTTGTATTCTGAGGAACAGAACCTCAACTGTGAAACACACCCAATCTAGAGGGGGTAGACAGAGGAACCTCCAAGAAAATTTCAAAATGAAGAGTGCAGGTTATAGCGAAGTATTGATTGCCATCATCACTCCATAGACAAAGGGCAGCATGTTTATGAATCAAGCATTAATCTGGAACATCATGTCATTAAAATRGTACAAAACCATACTTAGAATAAAGGAAAACATAAAAAAAAAAAAAAAACTGTGAAGAAATCACTAACAGCTGTCACGTAGAAATATATTATGGCAGTTGAAGTGTTAGAAAGTGTGAGCCACAGAACAAAGAAAAGAATGAAATAATATTATGCTGAAATTTACTCTAATTTACAAACAAAATTATTACCAAGTTCTGTCAGTAGACTTTTTGGAGCATCATATGTTCTGGATCCAGGAGGACGTGGCTGTATTTCATTAGAAGCTATGATAAAAGAAATAATTAAGGCTTTATTTGACGAAGAAAATTACAAGACACTGCATGGAACTGTATTCTGGCTTAAATCGTCCATCACTGAAACAAAAAAAAAAAAAAAAAAAAAAAAAAAAAAAACTAATACAGAAAAAAATCCTATAAATTTTTCATTNACTGCATGGAACTGTATTCTGGCTTAAATCGTCCATAAAAAAAAAAAAAAAAAAGGAAAAAAGGAAAAAAAGAGTTTCTAATACAGAAAAAAATCCTATAAATTTTTCATTTACAGCAGTGTGTGGAATACAAATCAAATCTCCATTTTCTCTAATCACAATATAAGAACCAGAAAGCAGAGAAAATTGGTAGAGAAAATAATTAGTGAACATCCATCAGCAGCGATGTCCATCTAGGCTGGAATTAAATCAAGGCTTGTTTTAATTAAATTTCATATTTTTGCTTTGAAAGGGATGACACAAAACCAGGAAGTTGGACCCTACTTAAAGTAAATAAATAAGTAAAAGATTGAAGATTAGATTGAAACCAACTAGGAACAAAGAGCCACAAATACCACCAAAAATTCCTCAGGGGTTTTGAAGAGCAGATGTTTTAGCTTTAATAAATTCTGGAAACTTGCTTGCAACTGTAAGTGAATATGAAAGTGAGAGTATGACATTGACATGAATCAACAGGAGTATTTAAAAATATATTTGTGAAAAGGCATTGAATTTCCCCTCCATGTGGTATATCTATGTCTGAATGCAGATAAACGGTCACAAACTTTTTCTTTATCAAATATCATCCCATAATTATGCTATCTGGGCTTTAGAAAAATGTAATCAATTAAAAAAAAAAATCTAATGCTTATGTTCATGTCCATAATTTTGAATGGTTTTGAGGTTACATTATAGGTAGCTAAATCAACACTGGAAAATTCAGAATTTTGAATGTAAGAAAACTGTGGATACTGCTGCAAAACACAAAGTGAATAATGTTAATAAAGCTTCTTATGACGATAACTAATCTTTCATTATAAGAACGCTCTATCAAAAAAAAATCACTAGATCCCCTTCTTTTTTTTCCCTCTAAGAAAAGTAGAGGGATCATGACCCATACAATGTCGTACTTTGCTTTTACATCACTGTTCACGCTGCCTAAATGAAGCTGTCATTAAAAAAAAAAAAAAAAAGAAAAAAAGAAAGAAAGAACAAGGCATTCATTATTTTGGTTCAATCACTGAGGTTCCTGTAACTGTTGTTATCAGTCATTCATATCACCTAGAAAAGATAGAGAACATTACTTAATTTTAAAAATAACAAAAAAAAAGACTGAATCACCCCATCTGAGAGGAGTAATAATACATATGATGACCACCGATCCGTCGGAGCCGAACACATTGTGCATTACACTTCATATATATAATAAGATGCTGGAAATTCAATGTGAACAAGTAAATTCTAGTCAGGGCTTTCATCTGAAGAGGCTCACTACTGAGGTGATGGAGCAAATAGTAGAAAATTCTTCTGGAAGGGAAAAAAGTTTACAGAGAAAATAAAAATCAGTAAAATTATTTACCCAGTATGCTTTGAGTTTGCTCCAATTCTGGTTTAGGTGTTGATTTTAATTCCTCAGGTCCATTGCTTTTCTCAGTTTTGGCTAGAAAAAAGAACCTTGATTTAATTCTGAATCCCTCTGAGCTTTTGCTTAACCAATATCCATTGCCCACTTTTTTTCTTCAACATGGTTTTGCCACTTGCAGTGGCTCCATTAATATTAATTTGATTTCTCATTTTGGTTTCAGTTGTGAAATTCATATGCTGCAATTTTATGGGCATATTAGGCTATAGGAAAATATATATCACAAAGAGCAACAGTAAAATCAGCAGCTCAAACTGTTTATGTGACAATTTCCCAATTTTGTTACAAAATCCCTCCCTGTAATTTCACAAGTGTACATACAAATACTTTGTCTGGATTCGGCTTCTTTTTTTTTTTTAATATCTTTCTAATGCAAAAATTTACAGATGGAGAAGAAAAGATTCACCTATAATAGGTTAGGTTTTCTCTTAGCTCTAGTAACAACAATATAAAGCAATACAATTCACTTTTTTGATTTTATTCTTTCTTCTATTTCTAAAACAAAGTAAAGAAGGGCAGTTTATTAAACCATCAGTCAACATATCCAAACTGAATGGCAACTATACTTTAATAAGCTACAGYATAAATATACTCTTTCAGTTATTATGCACTTATACTTTGTTATATGTTGTTACACTTAATTTCTAAGGCATGTAAGCCAAGATCTTTTTTTTTTTTTTTTTTAACTATTCTATTGGAAGCCTCATAGGACTTAATCAGTCATAAAGAAAAAATAATTAATCATCTCAGATTGCAAAATGAAAAATCTTATTGATATGAAACAGAGGATGACAGAGCTCACATGTGATATTAGCATTAATTCCCTCCACAGTGCAAATAACAATATTTAGTGCATGTTGATTTCTAGGGGAGATATTTAATACTAATGTTGAGATTCAATATAAGTTTTAGTATTTTAATTTAAAAAAAAGATCACTTTTTTCATTTTGAGCTACAATAGAAGGGGTTATTTTTGCTTTTCCAACATGCTTTCTTCATACTTTTTCCACAATGTGCTAAGCATGCTCTTCACAGACATAGGCAAGTTTATAAGCTTATTATTTCATTTCTTGAAGGTACTGTTTTCCAATTTTGTATACTAAAGACAGTCACTACTAAGGTTATAAAAATAATGCTTTTTGGTTTGGATGTTTTTTCAGAGCCACAAAAGCTGAAATCACCACATATGCTGCATTATAAGGACCCAATTTAATTTCTGTTGAAGTCAGTGACAGTGCTGCTACCAACACCAATGAAAGAGGGATTCAGTTCTATAGAGAAGTCAAAACAAATCATCTCTACAAAACTTTTTGGAGAAAATTCATCCACAAGAGATCTAGAAACATAAAGAATGAACCTGTCCTCCAGAGTACTTCCAAAGATACCATTTCTCATTGCTAAAATATAACCATGAAATAAAAAACACATCAGCAAAAACAAACATTTAGAACTCATTAAACCCTTTTTTTTTTAAGGGTCAGCTGGTTAAGTTTTCATATGAAGCACATGTCCTGGCAACCAATTTAGCTGAGTAATTTGAAGGATAAAAGGCATGCCTACGATTAGGATGAAAGAAACCAGACTCTGCTGTTCTTGCACATAATCTTGTAGAGATGAAGTAAAGAAACAGCAGGCTGTTATGCCCAAAAGAGATACAGGAAACAAATACTTTAGGCAATGGAAGTTAAATTACAGGAAAAGAGTTATCTACCCGGAGAAGCCTCTGGCTTTCCCAGGGCAGGAGGTTTTACATTCTCCTGGGCTGGCTTGAAGGTGGCTCCTGAGGAAATGGTTAACACAACCACACAAGGCAAGGGGGTTTACTGCCACAGCATGGAATACAGAAGGCATGTAGGCAACGTTTTTATTTTTCTCGTAACTTCTCTTGACAGTGAAATCTCAGTGAATACAAGCTCCTCTTTTTCTCCTCTGCTGGAATTTACACATTCAGATGGAAACAGTAATTGCACTCAGGCCACTGGAGCACAATGTGAAGTTGTCCAAACGTAAGCAGGGGCCAGGAAGCAGCACAGGAGAAATAGAGCTTGGGAAGCAGGACAGTAAAAATTGCTCCTTACTGAGCACTGAACCTATATTGGATTCACAGCTGATACTTTTCATTTAGAACCTCTTGTCTGCTTCACAAATCTACTACTGATACACTTTTGGCACAATCCTTTTCACACAGAAATAACCTACTCTTAAAAAAATTTTTTTTTCCATGCCCTGGACAAATGAGCTGATATTTTTACTGTTGGCCAGCTTCAAATACCCTGTGAAGTTAATAAAAGGTGTACACTTGATTCAAGTGAGAGAAAAATAAAGTAGCAGTTTGAATGACATGAGACAGTGTTTTAAAGAATGAAAAAAAAGGCCATTACAAATTGATGCTGTTGTGTTAAGAGTAAATTGCTCTTATTCTTAAGTGGAAAATATTGTAGCAATCCTGACACAAATGAAGCCAGGATTTTGCTCGCTAAAAAGTCTTTCCATGGTAATTTATGCCAAGGCAGGGGAGGACTGAAAATAAAGAAATGGTGCGATGTCTTTTTGACAAATAGACAAAAAAAAAAAAAAAATTGAACCACATCACATTGCAAAACTTGCCTTTCAGCCAAAAACTCAAAAACTAGAGGACTGTTGGAGCAGCCCTGCTCATGAAGCCTTTCAGCTAGCTGAAATCCAGACACAAATTACACACAAACTTCAGCTATATGCAGCTCCACCTAAAGCCATATTCCATTGTCACTTTTGGCAGAGTGAATAATTAGTGCCTTATCTTACATGAATCAAGATGATTTTCAAATGGGTAAAAACTAAATGAAAGGCCCTATCACTAATTTCAATTAATTGTGCCTCAATAATCCCTGTCTCTTAAACATAACCTTTGCAAAAGATCTGTGCTCAGAATCATTTCTGAAACTCTTGCTAAGATATATACTTATGTGTGTATATATATAWAAATTATCATTAAAAAGACAGTACTTGCTAATTATCATATATACTGAGACTCTATCCAACTTCATAAAAATGTAATTTTATGTTGCGTCCATGTGACCTAACATTGAATACAAATTTAGGATCAGATTCTGTATTCCTCTCCTGTGTATATGAACAGTATGTGAAAGAAGTAAGGAACACAGAAGTTCATAAGTAAACTCAGATGGAACTCCATGCTGTCATCACCCGCAGTTCTAAAACAGAGCCAAACTTGTAACTGTTCAGCTTAATCTAACAGAAACATTTTGAAAAATCAAAGCTCTTATTCCTAATTTCCTCATTTATGTATTTTATGAAAATCGGAAGTTCAAGACACATCACAAGGAGGAGATTTTTCTTTCTCTATTTTTTCACAGTTTCACAGTTACAGGTTTTCACAGTTTTTCACATTTTTTTTCATGTCACATCCCAGGCAGAATTTTCTTTCCTATTTTTCAAAGTTTCAAGGAACCTAGCACCTCACAAAGGTATAATTCTTATTCCAAGCGTTTTTACCAACTTAGCCTTTGGAGCATTTGGATATCTGCTCCAAAATAATGTTCAGATCCCACACACTGCTCTGTGCTACTAACTCAGTTACACTATGCTCCTGCCTTCCAACTCCTGCCCACAACTGCAGATTAAATAACATAAAGACTGACTTTAGTTTTTTATATTATTTGGCAAAGATATTCAACAAGGTTTCTAAAAACAGAATTCTCATTACCTGGCAGGACCTGTGGGGAGATTTCTTGAACTTCTGGTGTTTTGGATTCAGCAGGCCATAGCTGAGTTTCATTCTTAGCTAAATGGACAAAGAGATTAGAGAGTAATAGCAAAGCTGCATCTGCTCTGTTCCACTGCAGATTTATTTCTGTCTCACTTCGGTTTGCCAAAGTAAACTGACATGGATAAGTGTGGAAAGCTCCACATTTTAGAATCAATGAACTTYTCGCTCCACACCCAGTACAAGCATCTGTCTTACTATCTTAAACAAATATTCCTTCAAAATAACATTTACAGTAAGGAATTTAATGCCTTTGGAGTCATTAGTTTCACAGTGCAAAACGGCTTTCAGAGTTCTTCATYTGTCTAGTATTTTAGCATTAACAGTAATTTTTTCAAAATCTGAAGTTTCAATACAGAATGACCTATTTAAACAAATTTCCAAATACACCAGTAATGCCTCTATTCTCCTTCACATTGTATCTATCTATCTATCTGTCTGTCTATCTATCTATCTATCAATCATATCATCACCTACAGTAACARGACAACAGACTTCCAGTCTAAAGCCTGCTGTATTTATACAAAAGCAGCAGTGAGCATCATGGGAATTAATTTGTTAAAAGCAATTTAACAAGTCTGGAGTACAGAGGAATAGTTATGCTTGGTGGTGGATCTAGGGAAAATAAATTACCTTTGGCTTGAATAGTAGTTGATTTTTGTTCACTGAGGAATAAGGCAATTGATACTGTGTTATGAACTCTTCTGTTTTTTTAGGATAATTATTTTTAGAAATTACTAAGTTTTAAACTAAGTAAACAGAAAATAACTGCTAAAAAACTGCTTACAGATTTCAATAAATATGATATCCTGCAGAGCATTATTTTGACCCTCTATAATTGGAATACATCACAAATTCACAGCTTCACACACAGCATAATTTTTACTGAAATTTATTATAGTCATACATTRTTCTCAGACATCAGTGAAGGACATTTATATGTCCTTTGTTATATTTTATATACAAATATATTTGGACCATATGGAAGGAAACTCACTTCTTTTTGTAGATTATTTTATATATTTCAATTATTTGTCAGAATAATTTGGCTCTGCAAGCAAAATGATTCTTTCCTGTTTTATACTCCTTCAAAATTCATCACTCCCCTGAGTATACACCCAGGTACTTGATGTTCTCTGGTGTGGAACACATAGTAAACAGTGCAAAACAAGAGAGAGCATCACTTGTCTACTCTGATTATTTTCAGAAAGCGTTTGTGCTCCTCTGTGACACAGAGTGCTTCCAAACTACCATCACATCATCTGCTCTGACAAGTCAGAACATCTACATTTAGGAATACAAGTTCTGCACTAAGCCATCTCAGGGGAGCTGAGACTACCTTTGCATTTTCCCCATCTTATGCTCATTCATGTTTTACTATTTTTACTGCATGCAGTACTGAACCTTATGACCTGTTTTAAAATACAACAGCTTTTTGGTTACTTGCACATCATATACATTTTAAAATTGGGCTAACAATAATGATCTCGTTGTTTGCTACCTTTTCTTTTTCAAAGAAGCATGAATTATCAAGTTAGCAATGCAACAAATACAGTTACCGCAATTCAATAATGCTCTATAATGTTAATACTGTGATTAAGTTTTCCTATTTAGCTTTATTTTGTCAGTAACTGCAGCTGATTCTTGTAGCCTTCACTTGTCAAATGCTGGCAAACACCACTTCACTCCAGATACCAATTTTTAAGGAATTCAGCCTCATTTATATATCTGAATACCATCTACTTCTACCCTGACATACACATGCTGTCTTAACATGATCAAATACTGCAAAGGAAACCAGTCTGAGAATGTGTTATGGCCAAAAAGGAAGCAAACAAAGCAGAAATAAGAAAGGAAAAAAAGGAAAAAAAAATGACCCACTTTTTAAGGGTTCAGATTTTTAAAGTATGTGAATTTTTACCAGGTCTTCTAATGTCAAACTAACTATTAATTAAGCGCAAGAAGAAAGAGGGGGAAAAAAGTGACAATTCACTCTACATACACATTCTCACCATTACACTTCTGATACTGTTTATGAACAATATCAGCTTAACTTATATCTGCTTACCCATCTTTTTCTTAGATATTTGAGATAGGTCTTCTATTGTCAGAGGAGGAGGAAGTTTCTGTTGAGTTTCATTGAGTCCTGGAACAATAAGGTGCACTGCACAGAGAGGCGAGTGAGCCGTGATTTCAAGAAAGGGACAAACAATGCAAAATCTGCACTCTTAAGCAGCTACGGCTGAACTGTTAGGAGTTTAGCCTGAGTATCTAGGAAATTAGTTAGTTTAGTAATTATTCATCCTACTTAATGCCAATTCCCCTTTAAAATGGTGCCCTGTATTAGCACCGTTTCACTGAAAAGCAAAAAAAAAAAAAGCCATGACCCCGGAATACTCTTGTGCCACAGATACTGATGTGCTCAGAAGAACACCAACTACTTTGTTTATATGTATTTAAGTCTGGTCTATCAATAAATATATTGATATTTAAACTCACATCAAGTAGCTTATGTCAAATTCCAATCTATGTAAAGTATTTCCATATGAAATGGAACACTTCCCTGAATTTAGGAATTAATTTCTTATAAGATGCATGGTGCAGYGAGCCTTTCTTATGTATTCCATACAGAGTAGTAGATCACCAAACTAAGCACTATACGATATATATTGGCCCATTTTTCTTTTCTAAACCAACGCTGCATATTCCTGCAGGTCACATGAGAACAGAAAAAATGGAACTGAATGGCTTCAGGGAAAGAGTAATGCCCTCAGATATGTAACATACATTACTGGAGCCTAATTATCAGTATAGGTTCATGTATGTAGGTGGTATCTTATTAATTTAGAAGACAAATGTAGAATCTCTGATCTCAACAAGGTCTTTGCCACACAACTTTACCTGAGGTATGAAAGAACTTCTTAGCTCAGATAGCAACAGTGTCTTCTTCAAAATGTTATGACAATAAAGCTGTCCTGTTTCCCTTAGGCTACATCATCCCTGAATCATCTGTATCACCACAAACTATCTGTACCACCACAAATACAGTCTGAACTGTATTTCAGTTCAGGATGTAAATTTCCTTATGTGCTTTATAAAGAAATAACTTTCAAGAGCAAGAAAAACAAAGACATTTACACAGACGATAAAAAAAGTAGTAAAAATATCTTCTAATCACCTAATATTGCTCCTGGCAGAGAAGAAATATCTGAAGTCTTTGACAGCGTCCGATTTTGAATAACTGTGGAAACAACATAATATATTAGAAAATCATTAAAACACCCAYAAATGGGGTACAACACAAACACAAAACCACACAGAGACAAGCCTCAGCATTCAGAAAGCCTTCCCTCAATTTAATACTTAGAGATGAGGACACCATCCTTGCATTTTCCATATCTACATTTAGCTTAAAACTGCACACTGCGGATTTCTTTTCTACTTCATCTCTTAACTAATCTCTTTCCCCTAGCATATCAGGTTGATGACATTAGTGAAAAACGACATTCTCTGCTTATGATGTCACAGAGCATTCTCCAATCCAACACATCTCCCTRCCATTTGTGTGTCTTCAAAATAAGATGCTTCTTTTCATACCTGAATATTATTATTCACAGGTGGGAGAACAACAGATCTGGACAATCCAGTTGAGCAAAATATCAAAGCAGAGATTTGAACAAACTAGAATCTAGTTCAGGAGTTCAGCTAGTTATTTTTAACTGCAGTTTAGTATCTCATTTTACTAACACAGATGGATAATAACATACTAGTATTTGAAGAAAATTATATTTTGTAAGCTCCTGCTTATTTTAAAAGGAAAGTCAYGTTCTTATCTATCACATTCTTATCTATCAGAATATTGTGATTTGCTTTAGATTTAAGTACTTGCTTTACTCTTACAGAACATATGAAACAGTTGGAAAAAAATGCACAGAATTACCTTGTTTGATTATTGTGACAGGGACTAACTTCTTATTATCTCTTAGAGTAAGCTGAAGAAAGACAGAGAAGAGGAAAAAAAATGGGATAACTGCCATAATAGTAATTGAACTTTGCCAGTAACAAAAGCAGAGGGCTCCAATCCAATTCCTCGCCTGCCCCAAGTTAACACTGGATATGGCCCTGGCTCCAGTCACTGTGCTATTGCTTCAACTCCCATGGGCCAGCATAGTAATAAAGCATTTTATCTCCTTCATTTGGCTCAAGCACATTATTTTGCTTCATAAAAACACAATATTTGATGGCTTAGGAATCCCCAACTCTGTCTTCTTTTAAGAACCTCTTGAGCACTCACTGGGGAGTAGGCCAAAAAAATAAGAAACACTGACATTTAACTAGCGGAAAGCATCTGAAACTCATGAAGTCACAAATATAAATTGTATTTATACCATTTGATGCCATCAAATTGTAGACACTCTTTTGAGATCAAAGTCAAAAATGGGYAAAATAGCTATACTTCAGAAAAATCAGAATATCCTCTAAGAAACACAGTCTGTGCATACAAAGGATCTCAGTCCAAGAAATGTGATTAATAAGATCTACTTTGGAACAGCAAAATGGGAAAGCAAGGAGATGTATAATAATAATAATTCTTAGAAGAACTTCCCAAACAAATTTAGGTGAAGAAAAAGGTTGATGCACAGCCACAACATGTAAAAGGGGAAGATGACTAAATAATGTAATGGCCTTTCACTAGCAGCTTACAGAGATGATTGAAAAGAATTGAAAAGAACAGAGTAGGAATGTAAGAAAGTTACGTTAACACAGTACAGAATTTCATAGTACTTGTGGTTTTGTATACTGGTTATGGGACAAAGCATATTGTTTTGGCTGGAATTCTGTTTATTCTTTCAAATTGCAACCCATTTTCTCTTAATTTCACACACTGCTTCTCATATTTTAAGAATTCCTGTCAGAAATGGGAAGCAGATGGACATATACGGGTTTTAGCTGTAACCAGATGATTTCCAGCAACAGGCAGGGATAGACTGCCCTCAGCTCCCATCAGGGACCATGTGGATGAACTTCTAGAAAGGTTCAAATGAGTCAGTGTTTCAGAGTAACTGGGTCCTTTCAAATTCCTGGAATACCAAATTAACAGCTGTGACTTGTCCTTTTTTCTATTTCTGATCAGCTTTAAAGCTGCAGGACATCTCTTCAGGCCATCCACTGTTGCAAATGTGTGTGCTATGAAGTCCTAGCCAGCCTCTCCCTATCATATTCATAGATCAATTAATAATGAMATGATTAAGATTTCATGGGAAATAAAATGACTGATGGAGCCCCAGAGCTAGTCATCATATTTGCAAGCTATCTGGCTGCACTCACAGGATCCTAAAACACCAAGGATAGCCTTGGATACCAAGGATCCTAAAATATCAGGGAAGGCAGCTCTGTATTTTATGAAAGTTGTTACTGTCTGTCACCGGGTAACAACTTTGCATTGGTATCAGCGTCGCTTGAAATTAAGAGTAGGTTTCAATCACTATCATTTATGAAAAATATAAAATTATTTTGGACTCATAGTGCTAATTTTTCTTTATTAGTAGTAAGATTGATCACTCTGGCATTCTATTGAAAAAAAAATCCATTTCAGATATTCAACGCTTGAAGTACTTCTAGCACTCTTATTTAGATGACTAACAGATAGGATGAAATCCAGGTATCAGAAGACACCGCTCATTTTATTAGGCTTCTCAGTCTCTATAAAGCATCTAACATAGATATTTTGTTTCCTAAAACCTATTACTTGATCAAACCACTTGAAAAAAACGTGAGCTTATAACTATTAGGAGCGGATAAGTAAACTGTGTTTTCCAGACAAAGCACACAGAGAGAGGAGTGTAATGTATTGCTTTGATATCAGTGAAAAAGTAGAAGTGAGCTGTATCAAATGTTAGGTTTCTTTACCTCTGACCATGCACCTATGGCAAACTGTGTCAAGGATTGCACTTCACAGACACTTTGTCTAGAGGTATAAAGGTATTTTGTCAGGTCAAAAATACTTGGACTGAACAAGCTTTAAAATGCATCCATATTTTTTATCTGCAGTTTAACACATGATAGAAGATGAAAGCCTCATTCTCTGGCTAGGAGGGGAAAAAAAATTCAAAAACTCCAAAGAAGTCTCCACCCTTCCAACTGACATTGTGAAACTACAGGAACTTAAGCGACAGAAGAGGAAATTAATCTCTAGTGCGCACTCTCCACCCTGCCACCACCCATCATCACAAAAGGAAAAAGCATGATCATCTCCAGAGCTCCCTTTTTTTTTTTTTATTTCCCCCCTGCCTTTTTTTGCCAAGAGAAACACAAGCTGACATAGAACTGGTATTGAAAAGGCAGAAAGATTAGATGGACTGGTAATGTTCCTTTAATACAGCCTTTAAAAATGTCTCCTTATAGAGATGGAGCTAGAACAAAGGCTGGGTAAGTCAGTCTTTGGAGGAAAACACGGCACAAACAATGTTTGGCCCAAATAATGCTCCTTCTGGCTTTGCACTGATGATGCAATTGTATCACTGAAGGGTGCTCCACCTAGTACTGTGGAAGCTGAAGTCATACTGAAAACTTAAGGGCTGGCTTGTCGTCTGCATCCCCGCCTTTGTTTTACAGCTTCTTGCACTGCTGAAGTGAGAATGGCAACAGAACTTTTAGAATAAAYTTATTCTAGAGATTATTTTCAGGCCACTTCTGTGGCAAGCAATAGAGCAGTACTGCTATGGAGGTGAAAGTTGGGAAGCTGGCTAAAAAGATTAGATGTTGGCCTCAATCTTCATTACATACTTAAGCTGTACAAATATTTGGAGAACTATTTTAGCTCACTTTCTCAGGACTTCTCTCATGTAAGTGGCAACCTTGGTGTCACACAGCTGGCACAACAGAGTTAGGGTCTTGGCATACAGGGCTTGCTAGCAAAAAATAGAGTTTGCGCCCAGGGGGTCAAAGTAAAATACCTGGTCTTGGGCTGCCACATGCAACTTCAAAGACAACTTGAGATTGTGGGACCATTGAGATGAACAGTAGATGTGTCTTCATCAACACAAGATTAGTATTTTCCTCTATATCCAACCAACTAGCCATATTTTACTCACAGGTAAAGTATTTTCTCCTGCATGGGAATCATTACTGTGTTTTCAGTAACTGTGGCAYGTTTTTTACTGCTCTAATTCTGAATGTAATGCTATAATTAAACTTTTACTGTCCTAAACACTTAATTCTTCATCCATAAGAAAGTGCATGGATCGTGATTTGATTCCTGAATGATATCCATGTCACTATTAGGGAAAATATACAGTATTGTACAAAATTAAGTATGCAGATTGAAAAAAAATGGCCATTGAATTGCCATTTCCTATTGCAAAAAAAAAAAAAAAAAAAAAAATTAATAGCACAGAACTGTGAAGAACAGGTCCATGGAGTGTTCCTTTAAAAAAATTTCTTATGAACTGAGACTCTTAAATGGCTGAGGGAACAGAGATTTGAACAACTTTCTTAGGAAGTTTTTCCTTAGTCTATCTCATGGATAGTTCCTTAAAAAATAAACAAGCCTCCCCACCAGAACATATTTTGTAACTTCTGAAACTTGCATTTTGAAGAAAAAGCAAGAAAAAGAAATAGGGAGAAATGAGTTTAATTTTTTGCAATGCTCAGGAGTCAGGAATAAAATGGCTATTTKCCATTGTGTTAAGACTAGTCTACTAAGAAGCTCAATCAACTCTTCCTTCATTTCTGTTTCAGCTCTTGGAAGCAAATATTTCTGTATGTAAGTCTACAAATCTGTGAATCCCACCCACGTGCAATAATTAAATGAATTGCCTACTGAGGCAAACTAAGATGCCCTATCCATCTCCTTCTGGTTCTGTAAACACTTCACTGTACATGAAAACTACTACTGAATTTCTTAGGAAGACTGATGCCCTGAATATGTAAAAGATACCTCTGTGAAAAAATTGCACTACGTAATTGAAAAATAAACTCTCTGCAGGGACAGGTCATAACTATAGGAAATTATCTGAACATGATAAATATCACTGGTTAGCAAGTTTTGACTATACAAGTTGAAAAGAAGAAGCTGATTTTCACATTTAGAACTCACATGTTGAAACTATCAGCTTCATCTTTTTTAACCCAGAATCAGCAGGTTTGGTCATCTCAACTACTGGTCAGTCGTTTCAYCAATATATACATAAAGTGCCTTTCTATACAGTCTATTCAGTCTTAGATTCAGTCTTAGATTTATTTCTGGTATTGGGGATCTATGGCCATAATCTCTTTTTCACTTATTTTAATAGGGAATATTTTACCGTACAAATTAAAATTTCTTATCAAGAAAATAATCAAGAATAATACACTATTTCTGCATACCTGTGTTTGAGAATTAGGTATCAACTTGTACATATTCTGGAGTTGTCCATTTACTTTTTTATCTGATTTGAGAGAAAGAGAAATCAATATATAATTACTTCTTGGGTTTGTTTTTCAAATAAAAGCTAAGCAAGTTTTTCAATTACTGTAAACAGCTTTTGTAATAGCTAAGAAAATAAACAGAACTATTATAAGGTACAAAAWTACAATCTGGAGCAGTTTTCTTTGGTCTTTTTCTCCAGATTTTCTTTTATTACTATTATTTCTTACATCTGCAAATTCTCTTCTTACTATATTGACATGAAGGAAATCAAGTATACCCTTTTTGTTCCACCTCAGGGGATATTTGAGTTGAAGGGGCCTTTGTGATTTCCTAAAGAGAAGTCTTAGTCAAGATAATTCTTTAATCGAATTAATTTAACAGAAAAAAATAATTTACAACAAAGAAACATGAATGACGAGGAATGGCTGCATCTCAGTCTGTCAGGATGATACCACCAACAGGTGCTGTTTGAAAACAGTGTGTTTTAAGTCAGACTAAAGTAACTGATGGATTTTTCTCTGTAGCCATTTCTCATTTTTCTCGGTAGCCTTTTCCTGCCATACTAGGAAGCAGGTACAAGGTACTGAGGCTTGAAGCCTCACAAGCTTCCTGTGACAGAGCTGTAAATAGAAAGGAGTTACTGCTCCTTCCCCCCAGGTCTGTGATTCTAATATGATACCTCAAACTTTGTTTACCACTTCCATCTAGACACTATTTCACTCCTTTCAAATCAACAGGCTCATAAACAAAAGCATACCAATCATTATACACCTTGATGTCTTCACTGTTCTTTATCAAATAGTCAAAAAAAAAAAAAAAAAAAAAAGCTATAAAAATTATTCAATTGCGAAACAGATTTACAGGCTCTTGTGAAACTATTACTATTACTGATCTTGTGAGTAATCTTTTACAAAGCTGACTTTTCTCCTTTGGTACTTTCTATCACTGAACTTTATTTCACTAGTGTTTTTCTTTCTAATCTGCCAAGCTATTCATAATATTCATGACACAATTATCTTTGCTAAAACTCTTTTTTTCATTTTTCCAAATATGTAACTCTGTATGAATAAAGTGTTCATTCTGTTCAACAACCATCCCATTATTTCCTTAATGGGCTACATAGCAATTTAATTTCAGATCACCAAGTAATTCATTTCTAGACAATTGCAAAAAAAAATTCATTTTAAGGAATTTTTTTTATCATCTGTCACACTTTTTATGTCCCATCATCTCACTAAGCTGTGGACTAAAAACTGATGCTTAGTCCTTTTTTTGAAGGATTATTTTATCCAGAAGTTTCTTCAGACCAGAACCAGAAAATGCTCACTATTTCAGGTTACAAAATATAGACTGAAAGGGAAATCGCAGTCCCCAGTATTTAGTTGTTGCAGTAGAACCTGCTTAATATACAAGCTTACAATCTGAAAAAATAAATCTCATCTGAAAAGAACAGAAACTATGACAAGGAAGTATCTTTCAAACCGAGTCACCCCCACAGCTTACAGGAATGATTTTTCTGGTATATAAAAAGCATGATGTCCATAAAAATATTTTTTASACATCTATGATTTACAGATTCGATTCTTTCAGTGGCCACACTTTTATCATACTATCTTGAACAGTATGTTAAATTATGAATAATGTCTTTATCCCCTCTAAGTGTTCAAAAGTATTCTAGCACTTTTTCTACAGCCTCCTAGCAAGTGTTTAAAATCTGAGGAAAATTACCATTTGTTGTATTTGTTGTTCTGAAGCACTGCTTCCTTTTATGGAACAGATACAGGAAAACACCACCACCATTCTCTGTTTTAAGCTCACAGGATAACAATGGCATCATTCTGGATTGCTTCCACGACTCTAAGGGGGCTAGGCAGATACTTTGGAGTTACAGCATTTTGGTTTATGTTGAAGGCCAGTGGGATTTACACTACATGAGGGCTTTTGTAGCTCACATGCTACAAAAGCCAATCTACAGCTCTCTTCCCTCCCCTTGAGCATACTGAGCTATAGCTTGAAACTGAGGCCCAACCCAAATTTCAGAAATCTCACATGAATAAGGCTCTTTTATGAGACTTGCCTTTCTTTTTTCTAGTCAAGCTTAAAATACTGAGGATGATAGTTAATATTATCTTCTGACAAAAATCTTGCTCAGAAATTTCTTTATGTAAATGCTCAAGACCAGACAAGCTCAGTTAAGCCTCTCTCCTAAGAGGGAATTCCTCCATGACAGCAGTAAGCTTTTGAGCACTATGTGGCYTTTTTGGTGAATACTTTGATGCCACTTTGCATGCACGCTGCCCTGGAGCTTTAGATAAAAAATCTTGAAATAAGATTGAGAACAGCTGGAGATGCTACAATGCTTTCTCCATGAAAATCCAATCAATGACATACGTGAGAGATYATAGATACAAACACTTTTTGTAGAATTCCTTGATAAAAAAAAATTAACTTCAAACTGATTTTTTTAGCAGAATCACAAAGGGTTCTTTCTAGTTATTTATATACTTTAAAATGAAGAAAGTCACGTTCCAAGTCAAAATTCAATTTTTACTTTTATTGCTCCTGAGTATGGGGTCCACTGTGATGAATGCTGGATAGGTTAGGCTCCGTTCAGCTTTTAACCAGCTTGCACTTAACCAGCAGATATAAAATAGGGTTCAGGCAAGGACAGCTCTTTCTACCAACTCAAATTAACTGTGATCTTACCGTGCAAGCCTGAAGAAGGAAGCTTGGTCACAGGGAACAACACACAAACACCACATTACCTGTATCTAAACTGATCACCATTACTTTCTGGTGAAATCTTGCCTTTCAATCTGTAGCAGATCCCCTGCTATTTGCAATGAGAAGAGAGTGTTTGCCAAAAGAGTAGGTGGTAGTTTTTCAAATACACACTATTTCTAGTTTCATCAATACCTAAAACCGTAAAATTGGTTAAGGCATAGGAATGGTTTTCAAACAAGGAAAAAATGATAGTAGTTTATTTTAAGTAATATTATACTAATAGAAAAGCTGTCAAACTGAGTATCTATTAATCATTGCTAAATACTTACTAGACAGAACTGTCTTGTGATTTAAAGTCTTGCTCCAAATACTATCCTCTACGTTGTCTTTTACTCCAAATTCATAAAGTGTGTTTGGCTTCAGATTGTCCACTACTGTCTCTGTAACAGGACAAAGCTGAAAAACCCAATTCTTCTCTTTATCCTTTTCTCTGTAGCGAACCGTATAGAACCTGTTTGACAAAAACAAGCACATGAAAAGAGGTGTTTTTGTATGCATGTGTATAAGCATATGTAACTCACAGTTCTACAAATCGCAGCAGCAAGTGTATTTTATTAAGGAAAAAAAATGACATTCTCATTATTCGTATGGTTTGCGAACAAGCATGTGTGGTTCTGACCACAAACTTGCTCATCCTGCAAGTAGTTTCTACGATAATCCGACATATGCCAGAGCTACACAATGCAATCATCAGCCAATTAGTCAGGAAGCCTCAAACACTTTCTTAAAGTCTTTTATATATGGCCAGAGTAAGGTGTTTCCCCTAAAATTAGTCCAAAAATATTTGCAAGGGAAAAAGACTAATAGCTGACATTTATGCAATACATTGCTCAATTGTTTTTCACATTTAAAACAAAAGACTAAATCACAATGTTAGCTTTGGCAGTTTAAAATCCGTGACGTGAGGAATATGAACACGTTACGAAATTAAAATTAAAAAAACTATACAAATTGCCTAATGTCATCAAGCAGCACTATCCTGAAAAGCATGGCTGCAATGCTAGTGACTAGAAAGGAACACAAGGTTAATGATGAAAGTTATGGCACAAGGGCTCCACCACCTGCTACAGTGTCTCATCTTCAATGTACATCCTGTACGGCTGCCGAAAAAATTTTTTTTTGTACAAAAAGAAAAAAAAATTGGCAAGGTCAGGCAACTTTTCCAGAGTGTTACTGGAAATTGTTACATATATCAGAAATCAAATCCATCCATTGTTCTTATCCTTGTCACATTTGCATCAGCWGAAAAATGATGAATTCCAGAAAATTATATTTTCCCCACTGAACTAATAACTGCARGAGAACTAACACTATAAATCAAACAAAGTTCTGAAGCTTTATTTTCACAATCCATACCTAAGAGTAATTCAGCAGCAAAAAAGAAAAAAAAAATTCTCAATTTGCTTTGGGAGATTTAATCCAGATATTACATAGGAAAATATATGTAGATGAAGGAGAGAAGATCCAGAGAAAACAACCAATATGTCGTTTAACTAAGTTGCCAACACTGAGCAGTTTATAGAAGAGAGTATTAGTGTAAGACGAAAGGGAAATTTCTACTTTGCTATTAAAAGACAGTCCAAGGTGAGGCAAGTAGCAGTATTGCAAAATATATTCTTTGACAGTTATGAGATAAAAGTAAAGTCAAATTTATTTTCTCCACTCCAAAACTACCAGTTCTCTGTTTTATTAGTAACAGTTCAGAAATTTGAGCTTGGCTTATCTATACAAGAGAGAGATTATTGAATCTACTAAATAGTAATTCTCTAGATGACAAAATGAATGTCTCTGTTAACTCATGACTCTCTTCATTTGCTGTACTATTTTACATTCAAAACATGGTAACATCTATTAAAAAATAGATTTGCTTTTCAGTAATGATTAAAATCATCCATGGGCATGACAGTACCTCCCTGAGGGCTGGAATAGTTTCTTAGAAACATAATTTATGTCTTTATCACTCCAAGAGACCTGAGTAGAAAATATGTAACTCTTCATACATTTTCAAATGTATAGAAATATTTATTGTTTTCACTTAAATTTGTTTGCTACCTTTCCCTCCTTCKAAACCCAATGTTGTTTTTTCTTCCTCTAAACATTCAGAAGAAATGTATCAGAGGATATATTTAGTGACAAGTTTAAAAGCAAAGCAAGACAAGATTTTACTAGTTATTACCACAYCAGCGCCAGGCCCTAACATATATAATAGCAGTCTTTTTTTGAAGTGATGGTGAATAGTTTCCTTTGCTAGATGGGCTCCATTTGCATATGTGCATTTCGCAAAGTAAGGCTTGAAAAGAGAATAAATAGAATCAGTAATAAATATCCTCTCTCGTCTTTGAGATTCCTGGAACTGTACAATAAAGAAACAATTAATCCACGTCTTTATTTCTGTGGTCTACTCACACTTCATATGTCAAGCAATATATGATCTAGCTACAAGCTAGACTGACAAAGAATGATTTTACAATAAATTATTGGCAATGTTAACATGACAAGCAGTTCCTCTTCTCTATTCTCTTAGCCTCTTCATGCATAACAACAGAGACATAAATATAAACTAAGAAGTTACTTGAAATTTCTGCCACAAATAAATAAATCCCATCTGAAGCACAAATGAACCTTTCTGCACTCTGTATAGTCTTTTGGAAGAGACTTAGAATAAGTATAGACAGATTTAAAAATACGATGCAGTAATAAAACCTGGACATTTTCTTCCCAGCTTATCTGAAAAACAAAGTCTTTTTTCTTTTATGTTTATCCTTAAGTTTTCTTACCTTTTTCAAATGGGATAATTATCAAGTAACTATTTGGTGGCAAGAAAATATTTTTACTAATTTCAGTTCTACAAGATTCAAATTCAAGAGCTGCATCAGAAAAGAGCATAACTCCCTCCACCCCCAAAATTCTGTTTCATCTAAAGAGTCTTGAGTGGCTGCCCTATTTGCCTCTACTGCATATAGAGAGTGTTCTGGTTGTGAACATATCTGGACACCTGCAAATTCCTTCTCAATAATATGATGTAAAATACCAGGAAAACAACTCCAAGTTAGAAATCATCTTTCTCTGAATTTCAAAAGGCTATAAAAAAAACTGACAGGGAGACTATTGCAGATATGCCAAACTGTACYGCTAGAAACAGACACATGGAGAACAGGAGAAATGTGCTTCGCTGCCTAGTTTTCCAAGCCTGTAAAAACTTAACCAAGGATGCAGCTATTTCAGTGGCAACTTGCCACAACTGGTGTTAAAAAATCTGACTGTGATGACAGAACTTCTGCAATCCATTTCAATAGAAGGAAATCAAAGTTCAAGTTAGCGATCTGCAAAGCAACTCTGAATACCATAAATGTCCAAATTGTACACCAATATACACTTCTGGAGAAATAACATCATTTCTTTACAGACAATGAATTTAGGAATGAGATGTTTTGTTATTAAAGAATTCCTTTTTAAAGATTCCTTGTTAAATCTGACCAGCAAAATGCTAAGTGAAACGGCACTTCTACTCTTTCTATACTTGTTTCTATATTTGGTTCATAGTAATTTTTCTTTTTCTCTCTCTCTCTTTTTTTTTTTTTTTTTTTTTTTTTTCTCATTTTCTCCAAAGATTTATAACTAAGCTATATGTTACCTGATTGACTTTTAGCCCCAGAGCAAAAAAAACATAAAGTTTACTATTTTCTCTCTCTTTTTTTTTTTTTTTTTTTTTTTTTTTTGCTATCCACAAGCAGGATAGACAGCTGAAACTCTGCTTCCTATTACATAAGAGAGCAAAATATGATGACTGCCACATTAAAGTTGTTGCTCACATTTTTGGTTTGGAAATTAATGGAAATCCCACTCCCTTCTTTGAGTAGCAAAATTGTAGGCTAGACCAGCAAAACGTTGAGTTTTCATGCATCAGTATAAATGRCATTCTCTTGCCAAAAATGTCACCGTCATTTCTCTAACTGTTAACCAAATTCTTTTCTAGTACAGTCAAATATTTGGGTCGAAACAATTAAATCCTGGAAAACGTGTGAGACAGATGGTTTTATGAGATTTCCAGATTAAGTCAGTTTGTATAAATACTATGAGTTCTTTGGAACCTGTTCCATTCCAAAACTCCAAACAAATTAATCATGACTATTTTAGACACACATAGCAGTAAACAAACAATTAAGCCTTGGAGATACAGCAACATTTCTAATCTGTGATTTTATGTTGTCATAGATAAAAGATTATAAAACTTATTACATTTTTGTGAATATGAATGTAATCAGACTTTTAAAGAGACTATTCACATACATATATGCTTGTTTGTTCATATTTAGTTATTATTAGATGCATAGCATAACATTTTGTGTTAGAAAGGAAATGTGGAAATGATTTCMACTATGATTTTTGAGATGTCTAGTATTTCACAAATTGACACATAGCATTAAGCATACCATTTCCCTTTTGTTGCCAAATTTAATTGAAAGTAAGTCATGAACAGATGAAAGAACAAAGAAAGAGACACATCCTTGATGGCTACAGTTAAGTTTGCAAAGCATTTGCTAATGCAATTTTCATTTCTACATGATCTTTACAAGTCACTTCTTTGACTTCTTTAAGTAAAATTACTTAGTTGAATTGAAGAATTAGAGGCTCCAAAGAAGGATAGACTGACAACCAATCAAATTTTCCTGTGTTTAAACTTGACTTTCTGCCAACTGTCCCACAGCAGTAACTCAAAAGCATCTGAAATTCCAAAAGCTCATATGCTGCAGTATGTTTTCCTTAATGAATTCKGCTAAGTTTAAAATCCATTTTCTATGATATCCGAAACACAAACTGTGATTAAGTTGTCAGCTGCACAGTGACACAGACTTGTTGATATGCCCAAAATGGAATGCACGCAGCTGACTGAATTTGGAATTTTAAAAACCCTGCTTCTATGTGCTGTGTAACATAAGTATGGATTTTTTCTTTTTTCTTCTCTTTATTTATTTTTTAAATTTTCCTTTTAGGAGTGGGGGAGCAGATTTAGAATTAGAAAAACCTGCACAAAATGTAAATATGAATTAAGATCCTTATAGCGTAAGTAATGTAAATGCCAAACTGTCAATTCTTGATTTAAATATGCTGCATGAAAATAGTCTGCCTTCAGATTTACTATTTATATTGCACATGTATTTGAAGATTGCTTGTTTTAAAATTCAGATCACTTTATCCAGTAAAATATACAGACTGTCTTGCAGAGAATTCATGCGTTTTCTGATCCTTCCTCCCCTTTGACAAGCAACTGAAGTCCTGTTAAGACTCTGCTCTGTTTTGGGAGTTGTTGTAACCATAGGTAAGGCCAAGAAAAGACTACATGATAGCAGACTCTCTCTCTCTCTTTTTTTTTTTTTTTTCTTTTCTTTTTTTTTATTAAGACCTAGATGGACAGTAAATATACCTTCTAGTGTGTATATTATGACAGGTATTTCCATTAATGGTTGATTGAATCCTGAAATGTGGAAGAGAAAGAAAACAATTTCTTTTTTTTGGAACATATAAAAGAGAACTTTAACATTCTCCATTRGATACCTCATATAGGTATAGGAAAGTAAAAGATGCTGAGAAAGTTAGTAAAACCTTTCTGGTGTTACTAAATTGCTATTTCTTACATAAAACTAAATTGTTGTTGTTGTTGTTGTTTGGCTCATTTATTTATTTATTTATTTTTTAATTTGATTGCTAAACTGTGACTAGAGATGACGGCAACTTCAAGGAGGCTCTAAAATTTACCCTGTCTCCACCCCAATCACAGTGGCTATCATTGATTCTAACAAGTAAAGAAGATTTGGGATTGTCTTACAGAAAATGTTCAGCATTTTATCGACTCATGCTCTGCATTTCTGGCAAGTTGTATGAAAATAACTGAAGATGGTTTGCTTAAAAATGGCATGGATAAAATTCCTCAATTGGAGTTTCTTAAAGAACATTTTGTACAAATGAATGCTACATGTTTGCAATAAACAACTATATTGTAATTGTTTTACTGAAGCAACAGAATGAGCTTTGCATCATGAACTGTTTGACATTTCTTGCCTCCTATGAATAGAGTTTTGTTATTAATTCCAAAGAAAGTATTCTTAATAACACAAAAGATGATAAATAAAGCAAAAGATGATGGTGAGAACGTGGGTATATATGCATCCTGAACAACGAGAAAGGAAAACAATAAAAAAGATTAGAAAAATGGTGAACAAAGATTATCCATAGGTTTTACAAAATTTTGCACATTTGAATGGAGCTTCATATTACGTAAATAAAAAAACAACAAAAACACTGCCGTTAAGAGAAGAATACAAAGAGAGAAACAAAATGTCAGAGTAGGAAAAATATAAATATTAACAACTTTAACAATCCCAGAAAATTAGTTTCACTCATTTGCCAATAGTTGTCTAGAGCATCATGGYACACTCCATTGAGAAGCTATCCAGCATTCTGACTTCTCTAGGAACTGCTACTTGGTGAGCTTTCCCAAGTTTCCCACCTGCCACATCTATYGTTAAATAATTACAGTAAGACAAACAGTAACATAAATTTTTTATAGTAGAAAAGATCTTGTTAAAAAAAAAAGACTTATGAAAATTTTACTATAATAGAAGGAAAATGGTGCAGTGATAAGGGCCAATCACAGGAAACAAAAACAAAATACCATCAAAACATGGCCAGAGACTGACTTTACTCCTAACTTGGCCAGCTTTAAGTCAAAACATTTCCTATGATTCAACAAAGTTTCTTTGATTAATACAAACACAAATGAAGGTAAATCCACTGCCTCTAGTTTGAGAAGAGCCGAGGATRTAGAGTAAAATAGCAAGAGTTGTACTTCAGCATTTAAGCCCCTGCCCGAATTCACACTCAAAACAAGTACTTGTTTAGCATTAATTTAAGTGCAGAAGAAAACTCACTTTTTATTCAGAATTTTCACACTCTGAATTCAATGTTTTGTTGCAGATACCTTCACACCTTCAAGCTTGAAATGCTGAATTAAAACATGACCATGATAAAAAATAAATGTTCTCTGCTATGTTACCTGTCACTAGCGCAGCTACTTGTTGCTGTCCAGTCATGTTGAGGGTTGACTAGGATGCCCCAAGAGAGGAAGACAGAGGTTGGGGTCAAGGTCCCAACTACCAGCTGCAGAGGCTTTTGAGTCTTGCTCCGACCTACATAAGAAACAGACCGTTTCAATTACAAATAAGTTTCTCACTCTTGCATTATGTAGGGTAAAATATTTGCAGTTGGATAATGAAAGAAATGAAGATCTACTCTTTTAAATTTGAAGGAAAATGTACAAGTGAAAAGAGACTCACACTTTTTCACACTTATTGTTTCTACTGTAAGATTTTAAATGCAAGAGCTGAGAGAGAGGATCTGTGATCTGTTTGTTGGCTTCATGATGAAGCAAGTGAAATATCTGGAAGCAGGAGTATTCCTTCCTTGAAAGCGAGTGAAGTGCAGAATGAAGGAGGAAGAAAGAAAGGGAGGACACAGCTAGCAAGCTCCATGAGGACCATATTAGGAAACTGACTAGAAAAGTAGAAATCATAATCAAACCTCAGGAAAAAAAAAAAAAAAATAGAAAGACTTTCCCAAAGTTGATTCTGAACCTGCACAACATGTATTTCAACTTGTGAAGGCAGTGAAAGTCTTTACTCCCAAACCTGTGAATTCAAGGTAAACCTAAAGCTATCTCACTCTTATTTGGTGGACAGGAGGGAGATCTGTTTGAAAAACTCTGTGTTTCTATTTTGTCTTATTGTTTTCTCTATTTCCAGAAGTTCTTTTTTTTATATTATGTTCCCAATAAAACCTAATTTTTGAAATTCAAAGTTTGTTTAAATTTTTTGGATATACTTAGTATAAGGTAGATACAGTCTAACCCTAATATTCTATCTTGGACTGCAACACAAGAAGCATTACACATAATTCCGAATTTGAGACAGTTTCTCTTTCCCTGTGGCAGAGAAGTTAGATCATCTTGGCAGTGTTGTTAATAGCACTATAACTATGTCCACAAACAAATCATACAGTTTGAATTGTCATCCATACAGTTGGATAAATTGTCATCCAACTTTTCAACAAGAGTTGAATAAAAACTACAAAAATTCTCTAAATTGTAGAAAGATCCGAGTCYGTGTCTGTATCCAATAGCCTGCTTTCCTTCAGCCAAATCTCAAAATGTTCCGCATTTGCATTTTATTTAAATTAACTTTGCTCTTCAGGAATTAGCACAAGCATCCTTCACATGGAGGATGAAATTTTGAGTAAGGTTTAAATGCTAGTGGCTGGAAATATGAAGTTTGCCAATATGAAGTTTGTGGGCTACTGCAAGCCCAAGTAGAAATTTTGCTGTGTGAGAGATGATTTTTATTTAAGATAAACATATATTCTTTATATCAGTTCACAAGCTTGAACTATGATCTATACCTCTACTGAAAGAAAGTAATGCACAGGAGGCCAAAAATTCCCAAACATTTGATTCACTGTTGTGAAACCAATCTAAGTCTCTTTCCATGCCTCTTGACCCTAATAATTCTCTACTTAACAAGCCCTGATGAAAGTCTGAGCTGCATTCCCAAGCAACGCGTGTGCAGCTGGACCCACTGTCTGTGTGGGTGTTTTACCRTGTATTTATGCAGAGCATGACAACAACAATAACAAAAATACCCACCCCTCCTCCTCTCACAAAGACGCCTGACAATGTAAAACACTGTGGAACATATGATACTTTTATGAGGGCAAAAGTACAAATAATTTTCTTGTTTCCTAGGCTTGTTCCTATCCTCTTTGTCCATTGTTAAACAAAAAAGCTAAAACAAACAGTTCACTCAAGAAATTATTTGGCAAATCTGTCTACAGTGAAATCCTTTTCTTAATCACTTTCAGAAGAAACATGGAAAATACATGAGTTTTAAGGAAAAGTCAAGTTCTCATCTAACTTGAACTCTTTATACCTTCCCCTTCATGACCAACATATAATCTTTCCATTAATTCCCAGTTAGAGACTCTAATGATTTATACACCATAAAAATAGAAAGTGCCCACATTATCATCTATTTTGATCTCTATGAAAACAAAACACACAGCTCACCTATATTAATTTTTATTTGAACTACAGTATATCTTTTAGAAATGTAACCGATCTTCACAAAATTGCAGTGACTCACTATCATAATCCTTAGTATATTTTCCAGTTCAACTTGACTGGCTATTGAAAATATCTGCCTTATATCTAGTTAGCACTAAACCAACAGCTGTTCTTATGCCTTTGCCTGACGGACTAAAAAGACAGTTGTCAGAATCTTCTTTTCCAAGTCCATTTCTGTAGATTGTGATCAAGTCTTTCATAAAAAATTTATGGATTCTATCACTCCCCTAAGCTTAAAAGATCAATCTTGCAAAGTCTTTTGCTAGAAAAGAGTGGAAGAATTTTCAGACCTTTAGTCATTCTGTCTCTCCACTGAGCTATTCAATTTATTGATTTCCAGTTTTAATGGTGGATTAAAAGTCAGTGAGGTATAGAATTGGACCCCCGTCTGACCCAATTAATACTTAATTGCTTATATTAATGAAAACAGCCAATAACTTCATGTCTAAGGTAGTCACCTAATATGCAAGGGGCTATAATTCAAGTTCCCTATCAAAACTAAGCTGAGAGTTTAAAAGGTTTTTTGTTCCTGCTTGAAACAAGTGTTCCCAAGGCTTTTGGCTATAATTCAAYTGTGATCTCTTACCTCGTTGTAGCTCTGATCTTTGTACATAGACTTGTCTGCAGCCCTGCCCCAGATTTTGTATTTGCCTTTCAAATGTTTCCTAAAAATTCACTTATTTTCCTAACTTAATATCTTTCTAATTTGGCAAGAAGGAGGTATTATTTCATTGAATACTAGTAATTTTGTGCAACTTTAGTCTCAGAAATAGATATGCTTTTATTATCTTCAAGCTATAAAAGAAAAGAAAGAGCATTCACTGTGCAGGCTGAATCATAGGCAATGAATTAAAGTATTAACAAATGTCGCAGGAGAACAAAGCTAATAATTCCAGTCCACGAGAGGTCACATTTATTGGGGTAATTGTAAATGATAATTGTAAATGTGTAAATAGATAATTGTAAATGGCCTAGAGGCCATAAAAAAAAGTCAGACCCACCATTTAAAAAAAATTCTAATATTCCACAACAGAAGCAGAATTAATAATCTTCAAATACTGCCCTTTTATATAAAAAGTTTTATGTGAAAGGTAAATCATTTTTCAAGACCTTTTCTAGGGGCATCTAAACATATTTTTTTTTATATTTGCCTGTAAGGGAGGAATAATTAATTCCAAGTGATTACCAGGAATTAGAGCAAAATTCATAGAAAGATCTGAAAATATAAATGCATAAATACAAATTGATTATTCTTTGCAGCAGTTCCATGATCCTAAGCAATAAAAGGTCTAACAGCGTTAATGTCAATGTTAAAGTCATGTCACTAGTTCTTTAAAGCAAAAAGAATCAATCTCAGTTTTCTATTCTGTTACGCATAATTTAAGCTATAAGAATTTCCCTTTCCTCAGCAAATTACACTAGCAAACTTAGTATTCGTTTACATATATATATACACACCAAGAAAAAAATTGTCATTTCTCTTTAGGAATAAAGAACACTAAAATGTTCAGGGATGACAAAACTTAAATGACAGTTTGAAAAGAATTCACATTATTGAAGTTTAAGCCATCAGATCATTATTTTGCAAAATAAAACATGGTAAACTTTTCCATGTTGATTTTTTCCACATACACTGGTGACACCTTTAAACACCAAATAATAGTAACTTAAAAATTAATTCTGATCTATATGAGCTTTTTTCAAAACAATCTTCACTCTACTTGATCATCACATACGTAACTCATTTCTGACTTGGAAATCCAGGCCTATACTTTACCTACCCATTCATAGCATTTGGGCATTGAGTCAGTCACAAACATCTTTCCTGAGAAGCCCCACAAAAGCAAGACTCTGTTTTCAATCACTTGGAGAAAGAGATGCAGTCATGGTAAAATACCTGAGCAAGATTTCTTGTTATTTGAGTTGCGTGCTGGTCTTACTGAAATTAAATACCGTGGCTCTGCATCTGTAAACAAAAATAAAAAGTAATTAGTATAGACTTGCCATTTATCTGAGAAAGTAATCAACCTCTAATTCATACAAAAAGATGCATGATTCCATGAATGCCAAAGATAGGTTATCCTATCTTTGTGATCTTCAGGTATGCTTCCTTCACTTATCACCCCAAAATATTCTAGCCACTGAATAAAACACCCCTGCACAGAGAATTTGGTACTTCCTCTTGACTTAAGCATAGCAAAGAGGTTGAATACAACAGGACATACATGCAACATCTGAGCTCAAACATTACTTAGGCAGTGAAGGAGGAGGAAAGCCTAGCTGAAACGGAAGGGGTGATAGCAAAGTAAAAAAGCAGGAAAATAAGTTAAGCTTGGAGAAATGCTACCAGAAATACCTGCATTCCTGAGCAAAAACTGAGAAGACTTGCCTTGTGCTCCAAGGCAAGATTTTCCTAGGGAGTAGTTGACTATTTACCACCTTCCCTATCTCAACTTTTGGCACATAAGCAGCAGGAAAAAAAAAAAAAAAAGAGGAAATTTGCCTACTGAGTGGTATAATTATACTTGTACAATACTTTTCAAATTATTCCAGCAGAAAATCAGAAATGGCACTATACTCTTATATACCTACAGTCTAAGAGAAAGCAATATATGCAAGGAGAAGGGTTGTACTCTGCTGTAAGGTTGTACCTTGTTGTTCCCACTGTTACATACCCATATAGCGTAAGTGCTATATCCCAAATGCGGATTACTCTAGCAGTTGCTGATGTTGTCAAGTGAACAACTTTCAAGATCAGAGCATGCTGATGTAGATACCTTCAAACAGTATTTCTACCAGCCATTATCTACAAAAGAATCAACTCTAAAGCAACCTTCACCTTCACCAGTACCTAGTGGCATATTAGTTTATGATGTCAAAACAGAATCTGTTTTCTTTGTACTCATAATAATTCACTTCTGCTGCTGCTGCTAGTCACATTACACTGGTATGTCTTATGAATGAAATTCATTTTAATGCACTATAAAAGATAGCTTATACATGCTAACCTGAATTTCCAAGGAGTACTACCATAGGGTGGACCTGTCTTAATGACTACAAACTATCCTGTATATTTTTTAATAAATAACATACTAAATTCTACTTTTAAAATTAGCAGTGATCTAATGACAGACATTCAAATCAAACTAAACCAAGGAAATACAAAATGATAAGCTTTATGGACACATTCTGCAACACTTATTTTCTCTTTAAGCTTTCAGAACCATTTCAGTTCAGCCATTTTCAATTCCTAGTGAAAAAAGTAAAACTTTCTACATTCCATATTCTGTTTCAGGCAGAAATGCACTTCAGCCTTCCTGTGGCAAGTTGGTTCTCAGGAGAGAGTAGATCTATCAGTCTACACTGTAACTCTGTAAAAAGAATAAACTGAATACATGAACAAGTTGGCAGGCCTCACTCCCATAGACTAATATTAAATCAGCCAAGATGTGCACGACCTTCTAGTGACAGGAAACACCACAAAGTCAGACATGTGTAATACAGTCTCTACTTTAGTCACTGGCTTCTTCTATGAATATGTTACATACCCTTCACATTGAGTTATTATGAGATCTGACTGTTAAGTGCTTTGACAGTTTTGGGCACTCTTCATGAAAGCAGAGTTATTACTAACTTTTAATAGCCATGGGATAATGTTTGTATAAAATGCATAAAGGGCAGTGACTTTGACCACAATCTCTGGATACTGTTATAATAGACATAATTTTGCACATAGCAGGAAAGCAGCAGTTAAGCGATTTTCTTATTGAGTAAATTCATCTCAGAGACAAGCTGCGTACTCTCCAATACCTGTATTTCTTTTGCATTTAACCACTATGCATTTCCTTATAGCAAAGAAAAGAACCTTTCCAAGGTACTTTAAAAAAAAAAAAAATCTTTACAGAATAGACAAAGTCTATTTTGACTCCAGTTAACGTTTTTGTGCAGTTTCCCCTAAACAGTACAAATGCTTCATGTCAAAAATGTTAGCAACAAACAGGTCACATTATATCGCTGAACAAATGCAAAGTCTTTCCAAAGAGGAAGATTTTCAGCGTTCAATTTCAAACCTTAAGATTAATTTTTTGAAGTAAATTGGCTTCTTTCATATGCTTATACGTCAAGTCACACTAGCTGGGTGTAAGATGTGAACCAGTTTATGAATATTTTGGAAATACCAGCCTTCATAGGACATGACATGAAGCTAACCAATTTGCCATTATTTTTTACAAAAAAACAAGCACATTTTGGGGACATTTGATTCAATTTGGATGAACACAAGCACACATGGTAAGAGGCCATAAGTTCAGATGATGTTTCTGGCAGCAAAAGGCAGAAAAGCTAACTGTACAGCTTAAAATAATAAATGCTTTCATTGAAAACAATGTTGAGAAGGAAATGGCAAATTTCACTTGAGGAAATTCATCCTCAGAAAGAGGGAGATTTTTCACTTCTTTTCATATCAGATGTCAGTTTACAGTTCCTGAAGATTTTAAGCTAACTGCTTTTCTCACCCAACTTTAACACTTGAAAAAGAAGTCACAGAAGCTTGCCAAGAGATATTCCTAGGAAGAATTCAGCTCACCACACAGCTAAAGTAATTTTGATTAGTATAATTTTTAAGGAAAAAGTCTATTCTATATAAAGATTTTCTTCTATTTATGATAATTTGTCCAAAATTGCCTGTATTGATGAAACTTTTGGTTTCATGCATATTCCAATGCACCAAATGCCTTATGCAGGGAGGAAGGGGACAAGGTGTTTTCATTGGTGGCCAGCAATAGGACGAGGGGTAATGGCCATAAGCTGGAGCACAGGAAGTTCCGTCTCCAGGTGAGGAGGAACTTCTTTACTGTGAGGGTGACAGAGCAGTGGAACAGGCTGCCCAGGGAGGYTGTGGAGTCTCCTTCTCTGGAGGTCTTCCAAMMCCRCCTGGATGCCGCCCTGTGCCACATGCTGTAGGTGTGCCTGCTTGAGCAGGAAGGTTGGACTAGATGATCTCTAGAGGTCCCTTCCAACCTTGAATATTCTGTGATTCTGTGATTCACCAGCTGAACACAACCAGCTGAGCACAGCTGAACACAACCACCGAGAAATCACTGAATTCTACAAAGAGAGAATGAAGAAAGTCAGTACTGAATAAACAGAAAGCTTGCAACACTACTTTGAAAGTAATATAACTTCACTATTTCTACGGAATTATCCCATTCTATGGTTGTACTTCTATTGTTTATTTATTGTGTTTAAATGAGTTTCAATTGTGATTGTTTATTTATTGTGTTTAAATGGGTTTCAATTGCACCCCAAATAAACATAACTGAAATCTGAAATAAGAATTGGAAGCAGCTGTAATAAGCAGGCGAGAAAATAAGATATAGTTTAAAAGAAACAAAATTCTCAATTTGAAATCAACCTTTCATTTCCAAAAAAAAGTTCTCTGCTGTGTATTTGTGTCCATTTGTGAGACTGCGACCAGCACTTCCACGAAGCGCAGAGCAACCTTTAACTAAAGTACAGTTAACCTCACAAGTATAAATTTATTCTTCAGAGACGCAAAAATATATGTTTAGAGCCGCAAAAACCCTGAAGATTACTCAAGAAAGTTATCCAAATGGTTGGAAACATCCAGTTTTGCCCTGCTATTTTTTTTGGAAAAAATAATTCTGTCTGAAGTCTAAAATTATACAGGTAGAACTATATAAATAGTTTATTTGTTAAACAAAATGTGACTATAAATACAAACTGTAGCCAACTTCACACATATTGGAGAAGTATAAAATCTTATCTGGAATCCTTAGCTCTATCTATCAGGAATCATTAGCAATGTGATAATGTTCTGTAACAAAGTACTCTCCACAGGATTTTTTTTTGTAATGGATGTTGTTCATTAAGTATTTTTGGCATTTAAAAATACAGTACATAAATATTTTCCAGTGAACTCACTGCTAAGACAATCTATAAAGAAAGTATTTAGCAAAATAGGATAAGACTAGATGTTGAAAGAATTTTGTTATACCAGGCAGGTTTAAAAGGTACCACCTGTCTGATTTAGGGATATTGATTTAAATCAGTATTATGATCATGTTAACTAAGGTCAGAATCTGAAATGATCAGAAGAGGACAATTCATACCTGAGATGTAATATTAAAACCTTGTTGTGAACTAAGAATACATCTTAAGTTAGAAATATGCTTTGACATTCCAGAGCAGAACTAACCATGCTACTATAGGAGGAGAACAGCAGCTGTAATTTCACATAGATTCATCTGTTCAAGACAAAATATCAAGTATTACACAGGAACGGAGGAATGAACACAGGCCTCCAAATGCTTCTGTATTTTTCATGGAATCCTAGACTAGTTGAAATTGGAAGAACCTCTGCACATCTCTGCTTGGGGTAATGAAAGTGGATGATTGTTACTAAGAAATAACGAGGGTGGGGCTGCTCCATGAAGATGGATTTTTTTATAATCCAGAGCGCACAAGTCTGCCTATTCCCTCCAAAGTCCTAATAAATAATTGAAGCTGCAGAACAGAGATGGAAGACCAGAGAACGCTGTACATGCTGCAGGGAGAAGGATGTTGATAACAGAGGACAAGTCTTAATCCGGAATACTTATTAAAGTATGTAGCCCGTTGACTAAGTGATGGACCTACAAGTGTCAATGCTGGGGACAGTTCAAGGAGGCTGAGTGCATGCACATTAATGCTCAGTCAACAGGAGCTATRGAAATAACTTCTGCCTTTCTTCAGTGCTGGAGCACCTGGAATAAACTTGCAAATATTGCAAGAAATAATTCCAATAAATTGCAATTGCAATTGCAGAATTGCAGTAAACCCTGTGTAACCCTATTGCTATGACCAGTCAGTCAGGAAAGCTGCAGAACATACACTTTCAATATGTATAGCTTGATCTGGACTTCTTCATTTATTTAGCTTATGGATATAATTTAGGAATTGTTTTCTGGCATACCCCAACAAAGTTGGTAATCAGAAATAAAATATGAATAGTGACATGATCTATATTTTTAGTAGTAAAACAGTATATAAAACACTCAGATGTATAAGGCAATGTAGTCAAAAAACCAAACCAAAACAAACAAAAACATCCTCCAAGCCTAATAGCCTAGTTCTTAGTGTTACAATTTCTCAAATGTGATTTGTTTTGACTATCCAGGTGAAAGACAATATGATCTTGGAACTCCTCTCTCAAACTGAAGCTCCCAAAGTTGAATAAAGCTGTTTAAAAGCAATGTACAACATTCACATAGGCCTACAGAGCATGACAGCAGGATGTTACAGCATTCAATACATGCAGAACATGGATGCATATGCAATCAATACATACTCTTTCATTCTTCCTTTCCACTTCCCTAAAAGAGGACAGAAGATTTCATACATGTTGTGTTCACAGTCTAAATTTTGGTATTATTAAAATCTTAATATGGGATGTTTAATTCCTTGAATTAAACTTTGTTACTGCCTGTTATTGTCACTTACTCTTCACTGCAACTCATATGTAGCTATTTAGCAATGTAAGAAGCAGCTCAAGGGTTTACCATTAGCACGAGTTCACAATAATTTTAGGAAATCTCACAGAACTCTTTCCTCCTTGTACATGCYCTCTGCAGACAGTTCCTCAGTCGTTGATAATGTCATGCAATGGCTGGGTCAGTTAATTTAGTTGCAAAAGAAAGGAAAATAAATATACTTTAGGAGAAGAATCAATGGAAGTATTTTAATGAAGGGACTGCGGACAGATGTCACAATCTCTCCAAAGACATATCTCTCCTGGCAGTACTAGGAGAGAGATTCTTATTCAGTTTTTTTCAAATAAATACACATGAAATATCATCAGTCATTGACTTCGGGTTTCATTTTAGCAGGGTCAAAAGAGATATATAATCCAGGAATGAGCCAGCAGGAAATCTAACAGTAAGTTGAATTCATCAGAATTCATCAGAACACTGACAAGGTGGGAAATACAGAAGACTTGAAGCCTTGTAGCTTCATTATTAGCCTTTCTCCCTACTGGGGCTCATATACCCCAGTTTTAAATAGGAATGATTATCATTATCTCAAACAACAACAACAAAAAGATCATGCTGCTCTACTACAGGGAGAGCAGCAGAGTCTACAAAAAAACTACTGGGCTTAGCACCAGCTCAAGTTGTAACTAGCTCAAGTTATAACAACAGTTCCATGCAAATAGTCTCATTTTATCCCTTACATGGTCAGTCTAGCACAACTTCTCATTAAAAAAACAAACAAACAAAACAATCAATACAAATATTAGTAATAAATGATTCTCAACAAGAACTATTTTTCTCCATGAAGGATCACACTTTTCCAAATTGCACTTTCATCCAAAATCCTTCCCAAGAAAACCTTAAACAAACAAAAGAAAGCCTTGAGCAGTAACTCAATAAAAATAAAAATTAAGAACACGATAGGTATGTATTTTTCTAATTCTGTTCCCACATTTTGTGATCACAGTAGAAAGCAAAGCAAAAATATCTTACCAAGTTCTGTTGTGTATGTTTTTCCTTCAGAAGGTAGACGAATGTACTGATTAGAAAAGAAGCTGCTTCCATAACCTAGGACAAAACCTTCAAGCTTGGTGTTTTGACTAGGTCGAAGATACTTCATGCAAACAGTATCATCTGTCGCATTGATCTGAACTTTCAGGCTCTGTCTTTTCACTGGGGAAAGATTAAAAAGAAGAGATGATCAAAATATATTATTTTATATATTCAGTAACATAACAATTGCAACACAGAGCTGTTCCATTTGGTAGTAGCACACAACTGAACAATGGTTYAAAGGTAGAGTTTTCTAGAAACTTTGTGTATTTCAAAAAGTAAACTAACAGTCATGTAAAATCATGGGTCCTAATGCATCTTTTTCCCTCATTTAGTTTTGAAAGATACTACCAAATGCAATGTTAGATACCAGATTCCATGGCTAGAAGCCAAACACCTTCTACAATTACAATGGTAGAAAAATGCATGAAATAAGAGCGTAAAAATATATATATATATCTTTTCCTTTATATACAGGAGCTATAATAATAGAAGCTTTAAGATACACAGGTGAAAAAATTGCTAAGATAGTGAGGTTTGTTCTTTTTTTTTTTTTTTTTTTTTTAGTAAAAGTATAATGTTTTAACATTGTTAATCACATTGTGAAATTAGAATAGAGGACAAAGAGTGAAACTCTATTAGATATACTTCTAAACTATTCTGACTTCTAGAAATAGAAGATGAATAGTTAAATATACAAATGGAACCGCAACACAACAGCTACTATTTATTTATCATTTGCTACCTTGGGCAGGAAATGTATTTTTCTGCTTAAAAATATGCCATGGCACCTAGACTACCACATATTCTTAACTCCAAATTACCAATAAATAATTTTTTAAACATTTATTTTGGGGCCTTCCAGGGGAATAGTAATGTCTTGCATATCCATCTACAAAATTTAATGGAAAAACTTATATAACATGGGACAACTTGATAGCAGAATAGGCAGTTTTGTGGGCTACAAACAGGTGTTTCTTCTCCTGGTGGGATGAGGCAGGAATGGCATTTCCTTACTTGGTACTTATAACTTGAATTCATTTATCACTATTACACTTGATATGTTTTCAAAACTGTTGGTCCCCAATGATTAGTCACAAATGCTCCCAAGCACTATGATACCAGGATTAAAACAGTACATTTGGGGATATCATTTTTATCCTGCTTTTTGAGATATAAAGTTGTATCACAAAGTAATTTCACTTCAGGAGCTAAAGGCTGAATAAAAGCACAAAGAGATGTAAGATCTGCTGTTAAATAACAGCAAAGAATTATACCAAAATTCTCCCTCCGTCTTCCACACACATGCAGAGCAGAGATATAGAGACTTCAGAAGTAAGAGCAGACCGATACTAGAAGTTACAACAACATAAGCACACAGCTTACGTAAGCAAAACAGATACCAGAGACCAACAGAGACCACAGWTTCCAAACTATGAAGATATGTTAATAGCAATGACAAGCACTTGCAGTTGTCTGCAGATTGAACCAAAAGACCCAGGCCAGACACTTAATGCCCTTTACCTATATAGGAAAAAAAAAAAAAAAGACAACTGATGGGAGACATGTGCCTGCTCAGTCACTGGGACACTAAGAGAAGATTAGAACTCCTAAACTGCCAGAAAAGATGATTTATCAGCAAAAGGTCACTAAGGTTTCAAGATAGGCTCTTTCCCTATCTGAAGATTCTTTAAGTAGAAAGACAGAGGCAGGAAGCCACCACCCCTTCCCCAGTTCAACTTTGTAAGATTCCCAAAGACTGCAGGACTTCTGTAAACTCCAATTCCTGGGATCTTCAGCTTTGCAATACTTCATGGGGGAAGGCAGGAGTGGGGTTGCTTTGTTGGCTGGAAGACATTCCAGTTTCTTTTATTTTCGTTATGTGACACTGCTGTGAGCATGCAATTTCAAACATGTACAAGGCTCCAAATAATGAAAAATAGGAAGAAAACTCAACAGATTTTTGAAATCCTCCAACATATATAATAAAGACACTAGTAAAATGTTCTATGCCTTCAAACTCTAGAATTGCTATCTTTAACTGACAGGCAATTACATTAGTTAAAACTGTAATCTGCTAAATCCTGTATTATAACAAGTGCAAAATGATAGTCCCAGTTAAACATTCACATCTAAGGGGACAGCAAGATTTCCATCACTTGATTCATGTGGACAGCAAGACTTGCATCGCTTGATTTATGTATGAGCCACACAAAATAACTTTTTCCCATACTGATCCTACACTATTTGAAACAAATAACACAGAATTCAGGCATGGCCGCTCGGARTAATATCATCCCTATAGTGGACAGCACACAGATATTAAACACAACCCAGTGAATGGGGTAGATTCAAGGAACCTGTCTGCTATGACAGCATGATGAAAATACATTTGATTTGCAGCAAATACCCTTGACATATTCTGATTTTAAAATAACATTTTCACCTCTGTCCTCTTGATGAAAAATAGYTGAACGATGAACTAGACTCCCTCTAATTCCAATGCAAAGAAATATTAAAATGTCTTGAAAACAAAAAAGAACATTTTCAGGCACAGAGTAAGGCAACTTTGAGTTTTCTTAACTCACATTCACTTTTGTCAGCTTTTGGCATGTGTTATTGAAACTCTGGCCCTAAGCATTGTRGAGTAATTCTTTTACCTTAAGGCCRTTGCTAAATGTGTTCTGGGACCCACAGCTACCTCTGAAATGCAATCTTTCCATCCCAGCCTGCCAACAGAAATTCCGCACTGATCTGCAAGTATTCTCTACAACAAAAGTCAAGTGATTGCCAAAACGGCATGACAACGTGCAGCAGATCTGAACTAAAACAGCATGAAGTGCATCAAGACCCCTAAGTTATAGGGAAACACCTCCTCACCTGTAAGGCAAAAGTCTTTTCATGGCCACCCCCATGGAAGCATCTGCATCATAAGGAAACTCAGYTACATTTACTTCTTCAGAAAGAAGAATATAGCCTTGAACAATSTGAAGAAGCCACATGGGACTACCATTAGTTTCTTAAATTGGAAAAGATAAAGCAGTCAGGAGTAGGCAAAAGGTGCCAAAAGTAAATAAATATTGGAGCGTTAGAAAAATTTACCTGTAATTGATCTAACTGAAGCTCACATCTTCAAAATGTGGAAGCAGCTATTGAAAATAAAATGCCAAATTTTTATCTGGATATTTGTTGTAAAAACTTTGGGGTCACCAGGGATTATCATCTTATAATCACTTTAATCATAGAGTATCAAAAGGGAAGAAACCAGAAACACAGCCACCACCTCTAGCTGTCAAGGGTTGCTTTTAGCTAAAGGTGAACCATTAGTTACAAAAGAAACAGAGATGCTCAGTTTTCAATCTGAATTTCTACAACAAAGTTTCAGTTAAGGCCTTTTGGTTTTTGTCTTACGACCCAGTTATAAATAATAGYTACAAAGGAGGCCACAAAGGCAAAGCAGTAACGGTAATGATTAAGAATAGGTTTATACAATTCCATTGCTATTTAATAACTGGAAGGAAACGAGGACATAAACAGAGAAATGGTTCACCAGGTTATTTGCAGTAAAACAGTATTTGTTTTGTGATACAGTGTTGGGCACAGTAAAATTTCCAATATTAAAAACAAATAAAATATCTGAGGGCTCGTTTTCTCCAAGAAAGAAACAGATCAAATTTGATTTACCAGCACAGAACTAAAGTTTTAAAATTCTGTGTCCCATGCCCCATTACAACATCACTGTATTGTTGGCAATGATAGATGTGTAGTTAAAATTTCCAACAGCTTTGATTTTCACCTGTTTCTAGGACCAAGAAAGAATGTGGCTCATGAAGTGACAGGAAGCTGGCTCTATTTCCCTCTCCAATTTAAAAGGATACATCAACTTCCTGATAATACTTTGCTGATTAGTTACTAGGACATTCAGAAGTAAGCTTAGTGAAGTGCGGATACAGCAACAAACTTCAAGAATCAATGGATAATCACTTCCATTTTAAAAATAGATTTATTTTATTCAACTATGRTTTGAGCTGTCTATTCACTTGCTTTGCTGAAGATGTAGCAAAAGTACTCTTCACAGAATCACAGATTGATTGAGCTTRGGAGGGACCTCTAGAGATCATCTAGTCCAAGTCCTCTGATTAAGCAGGGCACCTAGAGCACAGGGTTGCATCTAGGTGGATTTGGAAGCTCTCTAAGAAGGAGACTCTACAATCTTCCACCTCTAAGAAGGATACTCCACAGGCTTCTCTGGGCAGCCTGTTACAGGGCTCTGTCACCCTCACAGGAAACAAGTTCTTCCTCACAGAGAGATGGAACTGCCTGTGTTTTGATTTGTACCCGTTACCCCTTGTCATATCACTGGACACTACTGAGAAGAGTTTTCCCACCTCCGCTTTACATTCTCCCTTCAGATAATAGCACATGTTGGATAAGATCCCCTCTCAGTCTACTCTTCTTTAGGCTAAAGTAGCCCCACTCACATAGTCATTCCTCATAAGATAGATACTCAAATCCCTTGATCATATTTATCGCTCTACACTGGACCCTCTCTAGAAGTTCCATGTCCTGTTGCAGCAAGATGTTATGCCCTTACTTATTCTATTATTTTACAGATGTGGTTTAAATGAATATGAGCACTTACAATGGTCTGCAATACTGTTTTTTCTTTCATGAAAAGCCTTGAACTCTGCCTTACAAAACCAGAGGGTGAATACAGCTGTGCTGTATTTACAGCAAATTTGGCTTTATCAGCAGAATTCCTATTGCCTTACATAGAAACTGTTTATTTTTCACCATTTCAAATAATTTAGGGGGCATGAATGAAAGACCCAGCACTGTCTCACGGAGTTCTTGACAAATGGAGCATGCCCTAAGAAAATACATTAACACCATCTGTTTGTGAGCACCACCTTGCTTGCAGCCTTCAAACTGTACATGGCAGAGCTTTTATTTTCCAAGTCTGGCTTTCCAGCCAATATTTCAATGATAATGTAACACTGAAATTTCATTTTTGATATTTTGTCTTTTTATATTTACTTTGGCTCCTTAACATGGAGAACTATTGGTTATTTGGCTCAAAATCAACTATGGCTTAAAATGGGAAACATTTAAAAATAGTT